CTTGACAAAGCACTCAGGAGAGTGTGAAAGACTTGGTGTAAATTCCTTACATAAATGTCACACATACACAAATGTGGGTTTTTATCCTATGTTATCATGTCTGAGAAAAGACAATACCATTACTCATAATAATAAATCTTACAAACAAACACAAATTCTATCTAATGAATATGATATTTAGAAGTATCACATTCCTTCCTCCTTTAGATTCTATGCTAATAGTAAGTGAACAGCAGATAACTTAAATATATATTTCTCATCAACACACTAATTACTACACCTGTATGGTCTGAACCCTCTGGCTGCTCAAGGAAGTTTACCATGCAACACCCTGGCGTGCACAAAATGCAAAAATTATACAATTGTTTTCTTTGTTAAACATTATGCTGCTATGGGCCTAATGGCCTTCAACACTGCCAGGCAAAAAAAATCCTCTTATAAAAGTGTTCACTTGTGTTCCCTGATCACGGGATCACAGGAAAAAAAAAATCATAGGTAACATATTTTGGCCGCAATCGGGCGAGGAAGTTTGGAAAAATTGAGGCGTTGACAGACTAGGCATCCTGTGGCAGTCTGCTCCACTAGCACTGACAGGCGGGAGTTGCCACAAAGATATTATTACCAAATTATTTCAATGTGACTGATTTCTGTAGGGAGCCCCTACGGCTCCCTGGAGCTTATCGGGCTAAGCTCTAAGCTTATTGTATGTTATGTTAGACCGCGACATTAGCTATGGAGTTCAGACCTACCAGGGACCAGTGCCAGAACCTGGCCCCTTCAGAGAGGTTTCAGGGAGTAATGGCCCTGGAAAACCCCCTTGTGGTTGGGGTTTTCCTTATCTGCCATCGACCGGGGTTAAGCACCCAGAAAGGTACTCATAACAAAACAAAGCCCACATGGTAAGACACTAAAACAAAAACCGAACAGAGAGGTAGAAACTTCCTACAATCCCAAGGAAACAAGCAAACAAGCAAACATCACACTTTACTGCCGTGCCGCTCGTCCGCGCAGCCCTCCCCCGCCCCGAGAGGGGGCGGGGGGAGCCCCGGACCTCACTGAGCCGGCTGCTTAGCACCAGTTCATAAGCTAATGTCAACTGGGATAAACGCTACTCTGGCCTCAGTTTCCTAGACGGTGTTTGCCTTCGTGGTGTTCACTGCCGTGTGTTGTGTTGTGCGGTGGCCAGGTATTCCTCATCTGTACCAGGGCTGCATGCGCTTAGGGGCTTCCTTCCCTAGGCGCCCTGTGAGTACTGCCCCTGCTTGACAGGGTTATCTTCCCTGGGGCGTTCGGGAACCATTCCTGTAGAGGTTCTTGCTGCTGGGCTTTTGCCTCACCCTTGGGGCCAGCTGGGGCTTGAGGTCCTTGTTTGGCCTAGGGTAGGGACTGTATTGTGCTGGTTTGGGCATCAAGGTGTTGCACGGCCTCCCACCTATGCGGCAACCGGTTCCTGTTGCCTCTGGGGACGGTGTACTTTTGCGGGGATTTTCTTTTGTTTGTTTTTTTCTTTGCCTGGTGGGGGTCTGCCTAGTGTGGCTATAGTTCCACTAGTAGTGTTTGGTGGCCCTCTGCTAGGCCCCCGTGATTTTACACGTCGCAGGGGTTTTCAGTGTTGCATCTACCCTTTGTTAGCTTGGATGTTAACCGGTTAGCAACAACTTGCCCAGGCTTCCCGAAGGCTCGGTGGACAATTGGATGTGTCTTCCGGGTTCCATCCTGTCTTGTGGGGGTTTGTTAGTTGCTGTGCTCTTGTCTCAGGGTGACGGTCGCCACTTTTACCTCCGTCATGCTGCGTGTTGGGTCACTGACACCTTGACCCGGAGTCGTGCGAGAGGTGTTCTCTGCATGTTCTCCAGTACTCTTCTGATGTCCTTACTATTCAGAGTACTGACAGCATCCGTGTTGCAAGCTCGGTGTAGGTTGTTGCAACGCGCTATGTTGGTTTTCCACCCGGATGCCCTGGAGCCACCCCATTTTGGTTAGGTGCTGTTCGCCCCTTTCCCTCCCTGTTCCCGGCTCCTGACCGTCTGCGGGTTTTGGGGTCGGGGCGGGGTTTAATTAGTGCTGAGACTCGGGCGGCTTCGGGGGCTGCCCCGTTCGGGTTGGGGACGGAGGTTTTTGAGCCTGTTCCTCCTGCCAAGGCTTCTGGGTCTTACCAGCGGCCCTTTCTATGCTGCCTTTCCCATGGACTCTTCCTTTTCTTTAAGGGCAGAGGGCATGGAGGACAACTCTGCCCCAGGGTCTCTGTTGCGGGTTCTCGGGGCTGTGGGGAATACCCGCTTGCAGTTCTGAAGCTGTTTGCCCCTGCCTGAGTCTTCTGCTTCTGGGCAGGGTTTTTCGGCCCTCTAGTCTGCTTGCTTCCCACATTTGATGGTGTGTTTTCGGCTCTATTGCGTCGGTCACAGCTCGTTGGTGTGGTGGCCATTTTCTTTTCTGCGGATAATTCCCCGGTTGGCCACCAGGGCGGCACTATGGTTTGTTTACCTCGGCCGGGGTGTATGAGCTCGCATTTTGGGTGAGTTTTTTCCCTTCTTTCAAGGGTTTTATCCTCCTGTTGCCATTTCTTTGCTTTTCTGGGGTTTTATGCCCGTCTTCTGTTCCTCTGGGAACGCTTGAATGTTTGTTTTTACACTGGTTTTTTAATTTTCTGTTTGTTTTGGGTCTGTGCCCTAGAGTTTGTGCTCAGTGTCCCTGTCTGTTTATGCCTGCTCCCACACCTTGTCCCCCAGTTTTTGGTCTGTTTTGGGCATTTACCTGTGGGTTCTGTCTGGGTGCTGTGCTTTGCCCTGCTGTGGTGTAATTCCGCCGGCAAATGTGGTAGTTTGGGCTCCCCTGGGTTTGATTCCGGGTACCTTTGGGTTCTTTGGTTTCGTTCCAGAGGTTTCTTCCTCTTAGGTCCCATTTGTAGGTTCAGGGGGCTTTTCGTTACCTCGTGTGTAACCCTGTTCTGCCTTCTGGGGTTCCAGGGTCTTCTTAGCTAGCAAGCTGATCTTTTGGGTCTTGGCACGTGTTGTGGTCGTGCCGGGCCCCTTGGGTTTTTCTTGTCAAGGTAGGCCTTTCGGTGCAGTTTTGGTGCTCGTTTGGTGCCTTCTTCGTCTGGCCGGCGTGATGCTCTCTACCCACCAGTCGATGGCTTGTCTTTTCCTTTATTTTTAATTTTATTTTCATGTGTATCTGTGTATTTATACATTTTGTGTATGTCTATATGTGTGTGTGTATATGTGTTTATGTATGTATGTGTGTGTATTTATATGTAAGTATCCACTCGATTTAATGGCCTATATGGGGCTGTACCCTGGTCGTTATTTCCGGAGCTCCGGTATTTCCGAAGTTAAGTGTTGGTAATTTTTCAAGTAACATTCAGGTAAGAGATATTTTGTACAGACATCCACTTTTTCCACCACTCTAGTGCCTTCTACTCTGTGACATTACAGATTCACGGCACATCGTTTTGATTTGTCAAGAGGCTTGAGTGTTCATTCAGTGACTTTGTTGGACATAACTGCACAATCAAGGAAGATCCGTGCACCATGTTGACTCGAAATGCACTCACTGTGTCAGTGATGGCTGACTGGTGGGTGGATGGGCAGGCAGGCAGGAATGGAGAGGCTGAAATGTATGCAGGCAGGCAGGAAGAGGCTGGGAGGTAGGCAGGGAGGGAGAGGCAAGGAGGGAGGCAGGCAGACAGGCAGAGCTTGGGAGGGAGGCAGGGAGGGAGAGGATGGAGATGGATGGTAGGATGGAGATGGATGGAAGGATGGATGGATGGATTGATGGAGGGATGGGTATTGAGTTGAGGTGAAGCAGACACCTGGGGCTGTGAAATCCGGGCCTTCTCCCCCTCCCCCTCTCGGGGAAGGAAGGGCTGTGCAGACGAGCGGCGCAGCAGTAAAGTGTGATGTTTGCTTGTTCCTTGGGATTGTATTGAGTTTCTACATTTTTTGTTATAGTTTCTTACCATGTGGGGTTTGTTTTGTTATGCCTACCTTTCTGGGTGCCTAACCCCAATCGATGGCAGATTAAGGAAAACCCCCAGCCACAGGGGGAGGGGGGTTCCAGGGCCATTGCTCCCTGAAACCTCTCTGAAGGGGCCAGGTTCTGGCCCATGCTCCCTGGTAGGTCTGAACTCCATAGCTAATGTCCCGGTCTAACATGACATACATTAGCCCGATAAGCTCCAGGGAGCCGTAGGGGCTCACCCAGAAAATTGTGTTTCATTACATTCAACGCTGGTTTTTTCTTACTCCTGGGCGTGTTGCAGGCTATAATGGCAAGAGCAGCCCAGGGGTTAAGGTTTCCCAACGTCAAGAAAAACGGTCATATTAAAGTGTCCTCCCCTAATCTACCAGAAAACCCAAAACAGTAAATGGGACAGTATGTCACTTTTACGAGCAACTTCCATTTTCTAGTGTGACAATTTTTGGCCTTAACGCATAACGCATGCAAGCGAAAAGCGATGTTCATTGTAAGAGGAGAGGTTATCTTGAGATAATTTCAGGGCTTAGTGTCCCCGCGGCCTGGTCTGTGACCAGGCCTCCACCCCCCAGGAAACAGCCCATGACAGCTGACTAACTCCCAGGTACCTATTTACTGCTAGGTAACAGGGGCATCAGGGTGAAAGAAACTCTGCCCATTGTCTCGCTGGTGCCCGGGATCGAACCCGGGACCACAGGATCATGCATCCAGTGTTCTATCCGCTCAGCCACCGGCTCCGTTGCACATTGATCAATAAATCCAGCCATTATTGCTGAAATTTCCTCCATCTCCCAGCCTGGTATAGCCTATATAATGCTAAAATTTCATCTTTTCCAGCATGTTATAAGTAATGCAAAGATAAAAATCCTGATAAAACACATAATAACAATAATAAAAGATATCATATTGATATCTGCATCCATCATATTGTGTTAGGAAACTGTTGTTGCATGCAGTCATACATACTATGTGTTCCATAAATTCTGATCACATGCAACATTGCTAAGTTAAGTTCAAATTTCTAGGATATACGGAAGCATCTTCAAGACTCTCGTCCAGATTCTGTGACAGATTCAGAGGACTATGAAGAGTATGTTGATGAAACCGAAGCATCAGGTGACTTCAGCTTGTTGCTGGGAGAGAGTGACAATGAGCAAGGCAATGACAACGACATCAAGCAAGGAAGTGACATTGACACTGAGCAAGGAATTGACAATGATACATTGAGAACAGAAGACCCTTTAATTTTTGAAGATGCATATAGCACTGAGGACGAAGGTGGCTACAATGAAAGTGTATTTAATTCAAGCCATCATCACCATGAAGATGAGAATTATGCAAGCGAAGAAATTTCTGGGGACAGTCATTATGATAAAGATGGACTCCCTACTGAGGAAGACAGTATTGTTGAAGATGGTGTCATTATTATAGGAAAAGACTATGATGCTGGTGAGTGACATTTCATAATTTTAATGTTTATACTTGTTTTATTGAGTCTGAACAGATGCATGAGTCAGAATTATTTAAGTAGTATTTTCAAGAAAACTTAGCAAGTCCCTTATGACTGAAAGGTTACTCTGATTCAGCATGGAAATATAATGTAAAAAAAATATTCTTATTAAATATTATGGAGAAAATACCAGCGTTGATTGGAATGAAACGCCATTTTCTTGGTGAGTCCTGGAGGCTTCCCGGAGCTATCCAGGCTGAATAGATATGTATATCTTTCTGGCATCAGTCAATGCATGGAGTTCTTCCCTACCGGGGACCACGAGCCAGAACCTGGCCCCCTCTAGAGACGCACGAGGAGCAATGGCCTATAGAGACCCCCCCTGAGGTTGGAAGCATTCTATGTCTGCCATCGACTGAGACAGGCACCAAGAAAGGTGCCTGTCTTTGTTAGTACAGTATCTTTGTTTTCTCTGCTGAGATGACTAAACCTAGGTCCTGACATGAGTCTAATACAGAGTTAAGAGTGTTCTGCGTGTTAACATACCCAGTGGTGTGTATCATTATATCATCAGCATAGCTAATGATGTGGACGTTGGGTTTGCTTGATACAGAGTTTAACAGCATGTTTATTAAGATATTAAATAAGGTAGGCCTGAGGACACCTCCCTGCGGGGTATCCTGTTCAAAGTCTCTTGTTACACTCCTATGCCCCTGGAAAAATACAGATGACTTCCTGTTGGATAAATAACCCCTGATCCAACAAAGAAGCCAACCACCAATATTCATTCTTGCAAGCTCACTCAAGATAACATGTCGATTTGCAATGTCAAACGCAGACTTGAGATGCAGGAAGGTGGTATATGACTTTTCAGTGTGCAGGGTAAGAAAGGTGGTGATGCAATGATGCACACTCCATCATTGCATGAAGCCATATATCTGGGGGGATAGCATGGTTCTTATTCTATGGAGGAGACGGTTTAGGCCCATTCTCTCGAATGTTTTGCAAATGCAGCTAGTAAGGGAAATTGGGCGGAAAGCATTCTCTTGATTTGGCTTGGGAATTGGAATGATTATACTGTTGGTCCAAGAGATAGGAAGTTCCCCAGTAACATAGCTCGTATTATACAGCTCAAGCAGGGGGATTCCCTGGTACTAAAGGAAGTAGACGTAATATGTCATAAGTGATACCATCTTCACCGGGGGATGTGGCTTTACCTTTGTTTAGGCCCATGAGTAATTCAAACTCAGTAAATGGCACATTGCATTCATCTTCCTTGTGGTGCATGAAGTCAACGAGCCTTTCTCAATCTCTGTAACCAGCATTTAATCTGAATTGTGTGTCTGGCGGAAGCTCACTGTCTGGGGAAAGCTTATTGAAGCTAGAGGTGGTTGCCCAAACATCAACTAACTCATTTGCTCTGTGTAGAGGGTGAGGGTGTGCTACTTGGCCGATCTTATCACCTTTAATTCTTTTAATATCCTTCCATGCCTGACTGAGGGGGATGTGAGAGTTGAGACTGTTAACAAAGGTTTCCCAATTATCTTGCCTGAGCTCTGTCGTGTGCTCCCTTGCCTTGGCTAGGGCTTTCTGAAAGAGCTTAAGCATTGTTGGCGTACGTGTTTCCCTATACAGTATGTAAGTCCAACTCTTCTGGCAGTGCGTTTCAAAGTACGCAGTTTGGGGTCATTGTAATAGGCATGGTGTTTATTACTTTTCAAATTGTTCCGACTATTGGATGGTGCAGGACGCCGACCTAAAGGGTCAGCGAACATCTGAATGTTCTGTACTAGACCGTCGTTAAATGTCTGGACTGTGGAGGAGGTATGTATATATACTATATAATATATATAAGTGCTGTACCACTCTGACACATGAGCAACAAAGTCTTCACGTCGAGCAGGAAGAACACTGAGCAGTTTGCGCTTGAAAGTCCCACCGGGCAGGATGGTATTTCTGATACATACAGTAGTCAATCTAGGGGTGATGATCTGACAACAAATCTGTTACAATAGATGATGTGCACCAGACGTGAGAGACGTTGAAACCAACACAGAGGTCTAGAATGCCTCCACAAATATGCGTGGGTTCAAGGTCACCCACAATCTGCACATCTTGGTGACTATTTAGTAGCGACAGCAGTTGATTCCCATTACCATTACTGAAGCGAGAGCCGCCAATGTCCTTGTGTCTAGCATTGTAGTCACCAAGAATGATGGTGGGCTCTGCTCGAGTGCAGGTTGGAAGATCAATATAATTTAACTTTCCTGCTGGAGCATATAGATTAAATACATTGAGGACAGAGTTACCCACATAAATCCTCATTCCATAATATTGTTGACCGGCAGTTTGTTTTTCTGGCAGAAGTTGATGGGGTAGGGATTGTTTGATGTATAGAATGCAAGAGTTACTGGATCTGAGGCTGTAAGAAACAAATGAGGGCAATTTCGGGGGTGAGAATCTTGCGGGAATTCTGCACACCTGGAGACAAACAATATCCGTGTGTTCAGTTGTTACTTTGTGATGTAAATCTGAGAACCTTTTTTAGAGGGATGCAATGTTCCAGCTAAGGATGGATAACTTAGTTATTTGTGCATCTACAGTAAGCACTATATTGATTGATATTATTAGTCCACTTAATATATATTATCTATTTCAATACAATATAAGTCCAGGAACACTTCTTAGCTTATTACCAATGTCACACATTTGCCTCCAATTGTCTAGTACAATTTGTCTGCCATTTCCCGCTATAGAGTCGTTTTGAACATACTTTAGCACGAAGTATGGTGCACAGCTCTGGCAGTTAACCTGCATGGAAGGGCTCCACTACACAAGGTTTCAAGATCACTAGAAGTTTCCCCGGATTGGCAAGCGAACACATGTTTGGAGGGTTCAGGGGTGGAAGGGGGAGTTTGGCATTCATTGCTTAAAAGTCCCCTTCACACACGTGAGCATCATTGCAATATCGCTGGTGGATTTTTTCTCATGTCGGAGCTGCTCTTGCAGCCGTTTCATCTCCTGCTGTGACGGCTGCTGGTGTTCCTGCAACCAGTCATGAAAGGCAGCCGCTGCTTGAACAGTGGAGTGACCCAAGGGCGAGGTGATAGGGAGGCTGAGATCTGTCTCATTTTGATCCAGTTCCTTATCCCCCACTTCCAGTTGACTGTGGTGTCCAGCTGTGGGTGGTCCCCTCACAGTAGGTGACATTATCCCAGGACCAGGAAGTGGCCACACTACATCAGGGGCTGGTTCTTGTGGGGGAGCTGGGGTGATGGCACAAGTCTTCGGTCCGGTACCGGTCCCCTTGTGCACTTCCTGACGTCATGCTAGTTTGCTATTTTTCGTTTGGGGAGTTCTGTCCACCTGTTCGGCCTTCGGTCGTAATAATTTTACCAGAATAGGGGGTTTGTTTTGGGGTGCCAACCTTTCTGGGTGCCTTTCCCGGTTGATGACAGACATAGAATGCTCCCAACCACAGGGGGGGGGGTCTATAGGCCATTGCTCCTTGTGCCTTTCTAGAGGGGGGCCAGGTTCTGGCTCGTGGTCCTTGGTAGGGAAGAACTCCATGCATTGACTGATGCCAGAAAGATATACATAGCCATTCAGCCTGGATATCTCCAGGGAGCCTACGGGGCTCCCCTCAGAAAGTACATTATTAACGGAGGCAGGCGTTAACAAACAACCTCCAGTGGGTTGTGGCTAAGAAAAATTATGGAAACTATTTATATGTTCCACCACTCAGATTCAGATGAGATATACGATCACACAAATAACCACCAGAGCCATACACAAGAAGGAATACCGGATGAAGACCAGACTGTCTTAGAGGAAGCTGAACCAGAGTTAACAGAAATTCACAAAGTTCCTGGAAAAGACAGTCACCAAGGTGGCAAGCAGTTCCAGTTGTTTCCTGTACGGGCGCCAACACCACATCAAAGGCCTGCATCTACTATCAACAATGAAACTACAGCAAGATCAAAGTGTTGGTGTGATAAGAGGTAAGTCACTCATAGTCTTGCATAATCTTGTCAAATATTGTTTTATATTGCCAGCTTATTTTATTGTCACACATGATATCTTCCATTTGAATTTTTGAATGTAATTCATTCATGTCTCATGTTCCTCATGAGACATGAGGAGCGAACGAACGAAGGAAGGCCTAACATGCATGAATACACTCTGGCTTCCTGTCCCCGACACAATGAATTATTATAATTATATTATCTTATTCTTGAGTTATAATTCAAACACTATTTCTCTGAATTTTATCTCTTTTTTTTTTCTAAAATATAATAGGGTAATATTTATAAATGCCAAACCAAATTCTTCTTCTTCATTAAATTTGTTTTGCAAATAATTGCTACCTAAACTAGAATTAATGGAATCAATTTAATGTTAATATTCATGATATTGTGTATCAAACATCTACATATGATAATGATCAAAATCATATCATACATAGTAATTTAATAAAATCATAATCATAGCTTCAGATTAGAAATCAAACAAGCAGAACGTCAACGAAAGCGAGAGGAGCGGCTCAAGCTTAGGTTGGAACGTCAGCGGGTGAAAGAGGAGCGTAGGTTGATGAAGGAGAAGAAAAAACTGAGAAAGCTTAAGAATAATTTGGCACAGTGTAACTACACAATGCTAAACTGTTACACCCATGACAATGACCACTGGCGTACACCACCCCTCTGGCATGGTGAGTTCAGGTGTAGTAAACTTGCTTTCAGATTTAGGTTTGCTGTAATTACCTAAGTGTAGTTACAGGATGAGAGCTACACTTGTGGTGTCCCATTTTCCCAGCACTCTTTATCATATAATGCTTTGAAACTACTGCCGGTTTTGACCTCCATCACTATCTCGCTTAACTTGTTCCATCCGTCTACCAGGAGGCCTATGAAGCAGGAACGGAGGACTTTTGGACATGCAGATTTGTGAACCTCATTCTGGAGACATTCTTGTATCAACACACACAGCAGGCCACGAGAATGAGGGAAGGAGATGTACCGTCAGTACTAGATCTAGTATTCACCTGGAAAGAAGAAGAGATATTTGACATCCAGTACCTTCCTCCCTTGGGAAAGAGTGATCATGTCCTGTTAGACATTAAATATGCTTTAAGATATCATCTAGAAGAAAATAATAAAATGATAAAGTTGATAAACTCGATTTAAGGAGAGGTCACTATGGGGAACTTCAAAAATATTTTAATCAGTGTAATTGGACAGACTTGTTGCTAGGCAGGGAAGTAAATGAAATGTATGCCAAATTTTGCAAAATATATGATGAAGGCACACAAACATTCATACCAAAACAGAGATGTAGGGCCAGAAAACAGGATTGGTTCAACAGAAATTGTGAGAGGGCCAGAGACCAAAAGACAAAAATGGAATCAATGTAGGAAGAGGCCAAACCCCAAAACATACCAGCGATACAAAGATGTGAGAAACAACTATACGGCAGTAAGGAGAGAGGCAGAAAGAAATTTTGAAAAAGGGATAGCGGATAAATGTAAAACAGAACCAGGCCTATTCTATAAATTCAAAAACAACAAATTGCAGGTAAAGGATAATATCTAGAATATGTAATGAAATGCCAGAAAAAGGGGTTTCATTACATTCAACCCTGTTCTTTTGCTGTAATATTATTTAATAGTGTGTAGTGTGATATATTTATATAATAAAATGAGTAAATCATTGCTGTACTCAAAAATATGGTGTGCATATTGTTGATTCAATTATTATATTCATCAAGCAGTGAACAAATACTTTGTCGGTTATTACACTATATACACAGGTTATATATAAGTATCTGCATGTTTTGTTCACCATAACGAACCACTAAGTTGCTATTATGAGTCAAAAACAATGAGGAGTGACCGCCACACACCAGCCAGCCACTCGCTGCCACTCACTCCCTCAGCACCTCACTCGCCCACATTCTCCTCCCACCATACTGTTTTTGCTTTTATTCACTATATACAGACATTATATATAAGTATCTACATTTGTGTTATCCATAACAAACCACTAAGCTGGCATGCTGAGAGGCAGTGGCAGCCCGCCACTGCCTGCTACTTCCTCCCTCCCTCAACTCACCTGACTCACCCACATTTTCCTCCCACAATACTGTTTTTGCTTTTATTCACTATATACAGATGTTATATATATAAGTATCTACATGTTTTGTTCACCACAACTGTACAACTAAGTTGATATAGTTAGTTCAGGAACTAAGAGACGTCGCTACACACAGTCAGCTGGCGGCTGTTTCCCTCACACATTCAAGGTCAGACGCACTAAAATTTCACCCCCAACAATACTGTTTGTGGTGTTAATACCCTATATAAAGACATTATATATAAGTATCTACATGTTTTGTTCACCATAACTGTTCAACTAAGCCAGTATAATGCCCAAAGAGCATAGTGGCTACCTCTACCAACATAACAAATCATGCAGATGTTGCCACACCCATCACCAAAATGGCTTCTCCCCCACACTCCTTTTGCTGTTATTACACTGTATATATACACGTTATATATAAGTATCTACATTCGTGTTCACCATAACAAACCACTAAGTTGGTATGCTGAGTGGAAATGGCAGCCAGTGGCAGCCCGCCACTGGCTGCCACTCCCTCCCTCCCTCACCTCACCTGACTCGCCACCATTCTCCTCCCACCATACTGTTTTTGCTTTTATATACAGACGTTATATATAAGTATCTGCATGTTTTGCTTACCATAGCAAACAACTAAGCTGGTATAGTGAGTCCAGACAGTAAAAGGTGGTCGCACAGAGTCAGCAGACAATGCTACCTCCCTCCCCACCAAGATTACTCCTCCCACTACAGCGCTAATTATCACAACAATCCTGCTATTATCAGAATCCTGGTCATTTTTATCACAATCAGGGGTCTTCTGTAATAATATCATCGCTAAATAATAGCGTGAACATGTATATTATGGCATTTTTAGGCGATGCTGTGGTCACAAGCTGAACAGCAGTGCTGTGAGCTCATGCTGCGTGCGTCAGGCTTGGTGGCTCACTCAATACTGAGGCCCTCACACCCAGGAATTTGGCCAACGATTTAAAAAAAAATGGCGTCTGTTTACAAGAGCCCTGATGAAGGTGAGGTGAACCCCGTGTATCTGTGGGCTGTTTAAATCTTAGCGTAGTATTCCAATACATCATATGATGGGATGCACATTTTATAGCAAGTCACTGAACCCATCATATGATGTGTTGCGAAACTTAAGGGTTAACCACCGTGCTGCGCCGAGTTTATTCTGAAATTCCCCGTGCGCATGAAATAGTGTTCCCAAAAAATAATTTTTTCTTTGTAAAATGATAAATTCTCTTCCCTGAACATGCCTGTGTAAAAATAAATACCAAATTCCACTTACTTTGGCTGTGGGGACATGGACAAGGTGCGCTGTGACGTCATCAGGGGCTGGTCGCCCATGCGAGAAGCTCCCAGAGGCGGTCGTGTAGGCCATTCAAGCACCGGGTGTTGCCACAAATATATTTTCAATTATTTGTTCTGTGTATTTCCAAAACAGTTTTATTTGTTTTCTATCGTATATGATGCATATTTGTGTCCTTTACAATACTGTATGTATACAGTAGAATGTTCATAATGTTCCATGGAACTGTGATACATATGTCAGTAATGTGTCCACAATAAATGTCTATTGTCGCAATATTACTTGTTAAAAATTCACTAAAATTACAGTATGTACAGTTTCACACACTATTTACACAGCAACACACTGTATTACACTGTGTATCGAATTTACTCAGTTTCTATGATAGAGCCTCAGAGATTTTACAGGAAAGAGATGGTTGAGTTGACTGCATCTATCAGGACCTAAAAAAAAGCTTTCAGTAGAGTTCCACATAAGAGGTTGTTCTGGAAACTGGAAAATATTGGATGGGTGACAGGTAAGCTTCTAACATGGATGAAAAATTTTCTGACGATAGAAAGATGAGGGCAGTAATCAGAGGCAATGTATCGGACTGGAGAAATGTCACAAGTGGAGTACCACAGGGTTCAGTTCTTACACTGGTGATGTTCATTGTCTACATAAATGGAATAACAGTTGGAATACAGAATTACACCAGTTGGAATACAGAATTATATGAACATGTTTACTGATGATGCTAAGATAATAGGAAGGATAAGAAACTTAGATGATTGTCATGCCCTTCAAGAAGACCTGGACAAAATAAGTATATGGAGCACCACTTGGCAAATGGAATTTAATGTAGATAAATGCCATGTTATGGAATGTGGAATAGGTGAACATAGACCCCACACAACCTATAAATTATGTGAGAAATCCTTAAAGAATTCTGATAAAGAAAGAGATCTAGGGGTGGTTCTAGATAGAAAACTATCTCCTTAGGACCACATAAAGAATGTTGTGTGAGGAGCCTATGCCACACTTTCTAACTTCAGAATTGCTTTTAAATACATGGATGGCAAAATACTAAAGAAATTGTTCACAACTTTTGTTAGGCTAAGGCTAGAATATGCAGCAGTTGTGTGGTGCCCATATGTTAAGATGCACATCAACAAACTAGAAAAGGTGCAAAGACACACTACTAAGTGGCTCCCAGAACTGAAGGGTAAGAGCTATGTGGAGAGGATAGAGGCATTAAATATGCCAAAAATAGAAGACAGAAGAAAGAGGTGATATGATCACTACGTACAAAATAGTAACAGGAATTGATAAAATCAACAGGGAAGATTTCCTGACACCTGGAATGTCACGAATTAGTGGTCATAGATTTAAACTAATTAAACAAAGATACCGAAGAAACATAAGAAAATTCACTTTTGCAAACAGAGTGGTAGACGGTTGGAACTAGTTAAGTGAGAAGGTGGTGGAGGCCAAGACCGTCAGTAGTTTCAAAGCATTATATGACAAAGAGTGCTGGATCTTGCTGGATGATGGACGGGACACCACGAGCATAGCTCTCATTCTGTAACTACACTTAGGTAATTATTGTATTACACACTCAGTACTTTGGAAGTGAGTAATAATCAACGAAGCAGTCCATGGTACACAGCGCGACTTCGCTCTCGTTGCACCAGGTACAGATAGATTTTTGCTTCCTGTTTCTTCATTCTGTGTGCTTGCAAATAACACTCATGTACACCCTTGGCATTAGTACCTGTGGGTGGTATGTAGCCAAGCTTGTAAAATGTAAGGTAATCTTGAAAAGATTACAGGAAAAGATCAATTTGTAAGGTAGTCGTGAAAAGATCGCTCTGTAAGGTCCCACACAAGAAGAGATTCAGTCAGCCTCAAAGAATGTTCTTGAAAATATGTGGCTAACACTGTTCATCTATGCTACTGGTATCAGATGCATCATCACTGAATGCACAAAACGATTCATCTATGTATCATCTAAATAAATTGTAGATAGCATAGGTGGGCAAGAGTGGAGCTCAGAGCTACAACTGGATATGCTCGCTGTATCGTCCTCATAGGTGCTGTATCACTTGCATCCGACCTTTGTGTTAGGTACTTATTTTGCCTAGTTTCCCGAATATTATGACCCTTATGTTCTTCAAACAATAAGATTTGAATTTCACCGACAGAGCGCGATCTTTCAACATCGCATCAGACAGGTGTTTGGGAGCCAGAGGCGCATGTGCCACCCATGGTTGCTCATTCAGTATTAACCCAGCCAGTAGCCTTAGGGCATTCTGGGAATTTTTTCAAAGATGGCTGCCTCTCCCTGGAGGTCTTAAGAGTCCATTTTGTACACAAGCAACCGCGCACACATTTAGAATGGGTACGAAAAAATCAGAGTTTTCTCGGTTAGCACAGTTTCCCACCGACCGAGAATACTCGGTTGGTGCAGTTAAGTGGTTAAGCAGACAAGGAGTCACACTAACGTGGCTGAAATATGTTGACCAAACTACACACTAGAAAGTGAAGGGACAACGACGTTTCAGTCCGTCCTAGACCATTCTCAAGTCGATTGTGAGTGGTTCATTTTCACAATCGACTTGAGAATGGTCCAGGATGGACCGAAACGTCGTCGTCCCTTCACGTTCTAGTGTGTGGTTTGATCAACAAGGACTTTTAAGGTTTTGTGTATTGCCATCTTTGTGGATCACAAAGGGTGGCATTAGGGCAAGGGTTATTCATCCATGTCAAACTATTGTTTGCCTTCTTTACTTCATTTTCATTTCCTTTATGTGATAGTTTATTTTAATTTTCTTAACTTTTTTAAAGGGTTTCCTCAGTTTCGGTAGGTGAGCATGGGTCTCAAAAGACCTTGCTCAATTCATAGGCTGAGTGATAATAACTTGTAAGCACTGGAGAGCAACTGAGGGCCTACCAAAAAATGACATTTCATTACATTAATGCTGGATTTTTAGCAGAGGCATAGGAATTACAATATATAAAAATATTTTTCAGATGGAAAGTTTTGCTTCTGCATGAATGCTGCCAACAATACATACTGGTGTGTTCGAACTATCAACCAAACACATAACTTCCTCTACTGTGAGTTTGTCACTGGCCTCGTCACATACTACGATCTCAACATTGGTAAGTTGCATTTGTATGAAAAATGACTAGTGTAAATTCCTCGGGTCCTGTATGGGGTGAGTGGTGAAGTCATCTGATGGGTGAGTGATTAGGTCCCGTTAATAATAATAAATTTATGCAAACATGCCCTGCAAAGAAAGGTCCCAGCAAATGAAACTCACTCCTTAATGAAATAAAAGATTCAATGTTGAATGTAATACAGTAAAACGTCAATTTCTGGGTGAGCTTCAGAGATTCCCTGAAGCTATTATCACTGATAAAGTGCTCTACTACCAAGCATCATCACTTGTGGAGTTCTTTTTGCCTACCAGGGACCATGAGCCGAAACCTGGCTTCCTCAGAGAGGCTCAAAGAGGGATGGTCCATGATCACGTTACATTTAAAGGATATCATCTTTGCCATCACTTGGAAAGACACCCAAAAAGACAGGTGAATCAAAACAAACCACTGCCTGGTTTAAAAATGCGACCAAAACCCCTCAAAATGCCAAAAGAATTTCCCTCAATAATAAAAGAAACAACAAAACTTTTATTTATTTATTTATACAAGAGTTCTTACATACTTGTCAAGCCATTAGCACGCATAGCATTTCGGGCATGTCCTTAATCCTAATTTTCCCTGGAATACAACCCGCCAAATTGTTTAACTTAGAGAAACTAGTTAACTCTATATAGTTATGGAGTTATAGTTAACTCCTAATAGTTAACTCCACTTTTCGCCCTCACTGGGGGTATGGGGGGAGCTGGCCTGGAGCACCCAAGCAGGGTCGACCAGCTTCAGTTCTTTACGGAGAAAAACACCGCCGACCTTGGGAAGGGAAGGTGTCGGGGAGCCTCCAGGGCTCACCCAGAAACCGACTTTTCATTACGTTCACCACAGGTTATCTGTGGGCAGTCCCGTCAGCTCCCTGAAGCTAACTACCCACAGAGAAGGACAATAATGAGAAACCTACCAAGAAGGCATGTGTACCACAGGTAACAACTTGATGTCGAGACCAAGGGCGACGACAGATGCCCCAATGGATCACAAGACCACAGAGAACCCGGAATGTCCACAAGGCACGGGGCTATTGGAGGTCGTACAGGGTCTTGGCTCCACGTTACCTTGTTAATGTTCCTAATCCTTCTCAGGCATGTATAGCCTTCGGTCGCAGGTTGCGGCCTGTTGTCTCAATTTTGAGTTGAGGAGTGAGTGATGACCACCTCCCGGGTGAGTCCTTTTCTTCTAATCTTTGGTTAGGTAGCTCCGGGGAGCCGAAAGGGCTCTCCACAGAAAATCAGCATTGAATGTAATGAAACGCCATTTTCTGGGTGAGACCCGGAGGCTCCCCAGCATCCCTCCCTCCCTCCCGTCAGCGTTTTTTTTTTTTTTTTTTTTTTTTTTTTTTTCAGCCTCTGAATTGTGGAGAGTTGCCGGTGTGGAGGTCTGGGATCCCCCCCCCCTGGGGAGGGGGGTTACGCAGACAGATGCGCAACGGTTGTGGTAATGTTATGTTTTTTCCTTGTTTTTGATTGGGAAGTTCTGTTTGCTAGTTCGATTTTCAGTTTTCAATTTTTGACCAGCAGTAGTTTGTTTTGAGAGTCCTATCTTTCTGGGTGCCTGACCTGGTAGATGGCAGACAGAGACTGCTTCTAATTACACGGGGGTGTCTTTAGGCCATTGCTCCTCATGCCTCTCTTGAGGGAGGCCAGGTTCTGGCTCTCGTTCTGGTTCTGTAGGCTTAGAACTCCTTTGATTGACTGTTGCCATGGTCTAATATATACACATCAGCCCGGTATAGCTCCGGGGAGCTCCAGGTCTCACCCAGAAAATGGCGTTTTATTACATTCACCGCTTTTTTTTTGTGCGCCTGTGGGTGACAAAGGCCAAATAGCCTAGAGCAGCTTGGGGGTTAATGGATGCCTTCCCAGTATGATGGTGAATTATCACTTGCTCTCTGTGCTCTGTGCTTTTGTGAGGGGCATTGGGGGGAGGAAGGCCAAGCTTTGGTTCTGGTCCCTGGTAGACCAAACAGAACTCCCGCATCTGTTGTGACCCATTTGTATGGAGCAATCTCTGCGAGATAGCTTCAGGAGCCATCACCACCACCACCTCACAAATGTACTTTTAAATGGCCTTTCTTGACCCCAAAAAAGTTTACATTTTGTACTATTGAATTAGTCCAAATGACATGGTCAACAATGGAAAAGTAACTAAAGAACCTAATCTAATATGTCCAAGGTGTAAATAAGCAATCCTAGGCCCAATATATATATATATATATATGTTTACTTAGGCTTCATTTAGTACATATATATTCTATACAAGGCCTTGGAAAGTTTTTCATTCCCTTACAAAACTAATAGTTCATAACATGAACTGTGGTGGCTGCAACAGTCCACTTCTGTATATTCCACTAAATAGTTACTATAAATACTGTAATATTTGGAGGATGGGTTGCAATCAGCACTTGACAAACATTTCAGGCTCATCTCAAAATCTGTCCTCTAGGCACTGTGAAATTTGGCGAGAATGCATCTTGATGCTCAAGTGATTCTAATTTATGTATTAATCGGATATGGGGATTGTTTCTTTCTAAAAGGGAATTCAAGCTTAGCAGAATTCATGGCAATAACTAGTAGCTCAATTTAAAAAAAATCCTTAATTGAAAAATATTAGCATCAATGAACAAATCCACAAGGGCCGTGACGAGGATTCGAACCTGCGTCCGGGAGCATCCCAGACACTGCCTTAATCGACTGAGCTACGACATGGTAAAAGAGTTGAAACCAAAGTTCTACTGAACTTACTGGATCCCGCAGCCTCTACGAGGCACAAACCAGGGTTTTACACAACTCCCCCATGCACTCGAGCTATGTCAATAGGCCGTTCTCCCTCTTCGCCCTTACATCATTACACACAGAAATCACACTTTAATGTGATGCATCAAATGAATTTGTGGATTTGTTCATTTGATGCATCACGTTAGTGTGATTTCTGTGTGTATTAGCATCAATGTATGCATGAGTTTTCCTTCTTTTAATTTAATGCACATCTTTATAATATAATCATGTACAGATCCCTATCAGCTGCGGAATGTGGCCTTTACGCTCACCAATAACAGATTGGCAGAGCTACATCACCGCCTGGAAACACTGCGGACATGTTCCGGGGCCAATCAGTGTGACAATTTACCAGCCTCAGAGGTTCGTTATCTCTTATCTTTGTGTAAAGCTAAATAAACATTAAATCACATTCCACAGTTGTTATGAAACTTACACTTTGTTATAAATCTACAGTTCCACTCTAGAAGTTTAATTATTGTACTTTATGGAGTGTCAAAATAGCATCAAATGTGAATTACATGTTTTTTCATCAAAATAAAAGGTTCAATAAAACACGATTATAATTGTGAGGTGAGTTTGTTAAGATCAAGGTAGTGAGTGGGAATCATTATGCAGAGTGTGACTGGGGACCATTATACAGATGGTGAATGGTGATAATTATACAGTGTGTGAGTGGATATTATACAGATGGTGACTGGGGATCATTATACAGGTGGTGAGGGGTTCATTATACAGATGTGTATAATCAAAGAGGAGATTATTATTATTATACAAACAGTGACTGGGGGATCACTATACAGATGGTGAATGGGGTTCATTACACAGATGGTGAATGGGGGTCATTATACAGATGTGAGTGGAAGTTCTTTATACAGATGGTAAATGAGGGGTTTATTATACATATGGTGAGTGTAGGTTCATTATCCACCGTGCTGCGTGGATAATGAACAGGGTAATAATGATATGACATTCTCGCAGTGCACTGAAAATAAATTCTTTGCAAAAAATTATTTTCTCTTCTTATATTGTTAACCCCTGGGCTGCTCTTGCAATTATAGCTTGCAACACGCCCAGGCACAAGAAATAAAAAAAATATAAACAAATATTTCATCTTATAAAAGTCATCATTTGTGTTCCCCGATCACTGCAAAAATAATAAAAAACTTGTAGGTGGCATATTTTGGCCGCAATAGGGCGGGGAAGGTTGGAAAAAAACCAGCGTTGAATGCAACAAAACACCATTTTGTGGGTGAGACCCCGGAGGCTCCCTGGAGTTATCCAGGCTGATATGTAACTATTAGCTTTCTGGCATCAGTCAAAGTGCATGGAGCTCTTGTCTACCGGGGACCACGAACCAGAACCTGGCCACCTTTCCCCTCAGAGAGGCACGATGAGCAGTGGCCTATAGAAACCCCCATGTGGTTGGATGCATTCTATGTCTGCCATAGACCGGTTCTGGCAACCAGAAAGATAGGTGTCCCAAAACAAACCCCTATTCTGGTGAAAATATTGCTATCGAAAGCCGAACGAGTGGACAGAACTCCCCAAACGAAAATTAGCAAATGAGCAAGACATCATCACCTTGCCACACTACTGTCTGTGCAACCACCCTCCCCCTTCCTGGGAGAGAGAAGGGGGAAGCCCCAGACCCTCGCACCGGTGATCCAACCAGCAGTTCTCAGGCTGGATGTCAAAAACACGCGAAAACACTGCCAACCGGAGAGAGGTAGGGAGGGAGGGATGCTGGGAAGCCTCTGGGTCTTACCCAGAAAATAATGTTTCATTATATTCAAAGCTGGTTTTCTGGGGGGAGCCATGTCGGCTCCCTGGAGCTAACTACCCAAATACAAGGCAAAACATAGGGACTTACCTGGGAGGCAGTCAGTCCTCACTCCTCAACGCAAAGTCGAAACAACTGGCTGCAACTGCCGACCAAATGCAACGCAGGCTGTACTAGGTCCAGGGACATTGACAAGGTAACGAGCAGCCAGGACCCTGTTCGACCTCCAAAAACCCGTGCCCATCTGTCAACCCAAGACATGTTGATAAAGATGGCAGCCAAAGCAGCAAACTTACGAACGTTGTGGGCACAAGTATAGACCACAGGCTGGCTAGACTTAATAACCCTGTGGACGACTTGAGAGACTCGAGCCCGGGAACAGGGAAGAAGGGAAACCGGGTCAACCCAAAGCACAACCCCAGCCAACGAAACCGTGAGGAGCTTTGAAGTTCCAGAGGAGCCCCCTCAGAAACAGACAAAGGTGGGAATGCAGGCGAAGCAGAGCCACCGGAGGAAGAGACAAGGAAGCAGTCCGAGCGTCCCACACAAGACCCAGCCAAGACCAAGGCTGAACCTGAGAGGGATCCAGATGGGATTTCCGCCAATTCACCTGGAACCCGAAACCAGTGAGCTGGGGAAAGACCCGAATCCCTGGCGAGCAGACACACAGACTGGCTGGGAGCCCAAATCAGCCAGTCGTCGAGGAAGGCCAGAACCCGAACACCTAACAGATGCAGGCGGGTCACCACAACTCGAGTAAAGTGTGTGAAAATGCGAGACGCCAGATTCAAGCCGAATGGAAGGCAACGAAAACGATAACCTTGATGCCTCACAACAAAATTGAGCCAGTCCTTGAACCTCAGATGAGCTGGGACATGCCAATATGTGTCCTTGAGGTCCAGGGGGACACCATCCAAGCGCCCACCACTCACCAAGTTGAATGGTGAGTGGTGGGTCAAGATGGCAAGTGGGGATCATTATACAGATGGTGAGCAGAGGTCACTATACATATGATGGGTCGGATCAGATGGTGACCGAAGGTCATTATACAGATGATGAGTGGGGATTATTATAGAGATTGTGAGCAGGTGTTATTATACATATGAATGGGATCATTATACAGATAATGATTGGGGATTTATTATGCTCTTGTTTTCTACTGTGTTGCTCTGACTGATTGATGTGAAAGGAACCACATTGTAGTACCTTTCTTGTGGCTGAAAGTGGCATTAGTGGCATCTGCATTATTTTACAGGGCAGAAAAAATAGCAGCAAAGGAAATATTCAAGATATAGAAGACATGGAAAGTGATGATATAAGCAACAGAGTTGACTTAATTATTCCCTCGCGCCCCGTAAAGAGTCGGCTACAGCAGCGGGAAGAACGGCGTCGGATTCGTGAAGAACGCGACAGACAGCGGGAGGCACGGCGCCGACTCCGGAAACAACAGAAAAAGTGGAGAAGTGAGTATTCATATGATCTTATTAACTTGATATCTGAGTGTTGTACGCTTAACTGTTAAACCACTAAGGGCCTTTCTGTGGGGAGCCCTAACGGCTCCCTGGAGCTTATCGGGCTAATGTATGTTATATTAGACCGGGACATTAGCTAAGGAGTTCAGACCTACCAGGGACCAGTGCCAGAACCTGGCCCCTTCAGAGAGGTTTCAGGGAGCAATGGTCCTGGAAAACCACCTTTTGATTGGGGTTTTCCTTATCTGCCATCGACCGGGGTTAGGCACCAAGAAAGGTAGGCATAACAAAACAAACCCCACAAGGTAAAAAACTAAAACAAAAAACCGAACAGAGAGGTAGAAACTTCGTACAAACCCAAGGAAAGAAGCAAACATCACACTATACTGCCGCGCCGATCGTCCGCGCAGTCCTCCCCGCCCTGAAAGGGGGAGGGGGAGCCCCGGACCTCACCACGCCGGCTGCTTAGCATCAGTTCGTAAGCTAATGTCAACCGGGATAGATGCTTCTCTGGCCTCGGTTTCCTAGGCGGTGTTTGCCTTGTGTGGCGTTCACTGCCGTGTGTTGTGTTGTGCGGTGGCCAGATGTTCCTCATCAGTACCAGGGCTGCATGCGCTTAGGGGCTTCCTTCCCTAAGTGCCCTGTGAGTAGTGCCCCTGCGTGACAGGATTATCTTCCCTGGGGCGTTCGGGAACCATTCCCATAGAGGTTCTTGCTGCTTGGCATTTGCCTCGCCCTTGGGGCCAGCTGGGGCTTGGGGCCCTTATTTGGCCCTGGGTAGGGACTGGTATTGTGCTGGTTAGGGCATCAAGGTGTTGCGCGACCTGCCACCTAAGCGGCGACCAGTTCCTGTTGCCTCTGGAGACGGTGTACTTTTGCTGGGTTTTTGTTTTGTTTTTATTTTCATTTGTCTGGTGGGGGTCTGCATAGTGTGGCTATACTGTAGTTCCACTGGTAGTGTTTGGTGGCCCTCTGCTAGGCCCCCGTGATTGTACATGTCGCAGGGGTTTTCAGTGTTGTCCTCTACCCTCTTGTTATTTTTGGGTTTCCTAACCGGTTAGCAACACCTTGCCCGGGCTTCCCATAGTTGTTAACCCTAAGGGCCCTGGAAACCCCTATCGGGGCTCGGTGGACCATTGAATGTGTCTTCCGGGTTCCAACCCGTCTTGTACGGGATCGTTGGTTGCTGTGCCCTTGTCTCTAGGTGACAGTCGCCACTTTTATCTCCATCATGTTGCCTGTTGGGTCACTGACACCTTGATCCGGAGTCTTGCGAGAGATATTCACTGCTTGTTCTCCAGTACAGTACTCTCCTGGTGTTATTACTGTTCAGAGTACAGGCAGCATCCGTGTTTCAAGCTAAGTTAGGTTGCTGCAACACGCTAGGTTGGTTTCCCACTCGGATGCCCCGGGGCCGCCTCGTTTTGGTTAGGTGCTGTTCGCCCCTTTCACTCCCTGTTCCCAGCTCCGGACCGTCTGCGGGTTTCGGGGTCAGGGCGGGGTTTAGTTGGGGCCGAGACTCGGGCAGTTTCAGGAACTGCCCCGTTCGGGTTGGGGACGGAGGTTTTTGAGCCTGTTCCTCCTGCCAAGGCTTCTGGGTCTTACCAGCGCCCCTTTCTTGCTGCCTTTCCCATGGACTCTTCCTTTTCTTTAAGGGCGGAGGGCACTGAGGACGGCTCTGCCCTGGGGCCTCTGTTGCGGGTTCCCGGGGCTGTGGGGGATGCCTGCTAGCAGTTCTGGGGCGATTTGCCCCTGCCTGGGTTTTCTGCTTCTGGGCGGAGTTTTTTGCCCATCCAGTCTGCTTGCTTCCCACTTTTGCTGGCATGTTTTTGTATCTTTTGCATCGGTCACAGCCCTCTGTTCTGGTGGCCATTTTCTTCTGCCGGTTTCCCGGCGTGGCCACCAGGGTAGCGTTGCGGTTTGTTTACATGTGCCTGGGTGTCCGAGCGAGCATCTTGGGTGACTTTTTTCACCTTTTTCAGGGCTACACAAGCAGGCAGACAGGCTGGGAGGGAGGGAGGGAGGGAAGAAGGGAGGTAGGTAGGAAGGCAGGCAGGCAGCCAGCCAGGCTGGCTGGCAGAGAGGGAGGCTGGCAAGCTGGTAGGGCAACCCGTTCTCGCAAATTTAATAAGTCAGTATTGACTTATTAAATATGTGCATAGGTGACATACTTAACATAATAGATACCCTTAAAAAGATTCATAGAAAACACCGACCTTACCTAACCTTGTTAGTATCTTAAGATAAGCATCTTATTGCTTCGTAATTACAATTATTACCTAACCTATAATAGGTATAGGTTAAGTAATAATTGTAATTACGAAGCAATAAGATGCTTATCTTAAGATACTAACAAGGTTAGGTAAGGTCGGTGTTTTCTATGAATCTTTTTAAGGGTATCTATTATGTTTAGTATATCACCTATGCACGTAGTTATTAAGTCAATATTGACTTTACGAATTTGCGAGAACGGGTTGGGTAGGCAGGCAAGCAAGCAGAGAGAGGGGCAGGCAGGCGACCTGGCAGAGAAGGAGACAGGCATGCAGGGACGGAGGGATGGATGTTGAGTTGAACTACGTGACCATGAAGCAGAGTGTGTATGGGAGGTGTGTCAGTGGTCGGGGAGGGGACCGGCTCACTCCGATAACCCTATCACACTCGACCCCGCTAGCCAGATTTGTTTCTTAAATTCTGGATGTACATCATCATATATATTTTTGGTTGCAGATTTTGTTTAGTAACATTATTAGGATAATAAAAAGTTATAAAAATGCTTGTTTCATGAATGCTTTATTGTATTAGATGGAGATTCTCTGGCTGGCAATCTACTAAGCTAGCCACTTTGGGGGGAGGGAGGGCAGCAGTGAGGGTGTACTCACATAGTTGTACTCACCTAGTTGCTTTTGCTGGGTTGAGCTCTGGCTTTTTGGTCCCGCCTCTCCTGAGGGAAAAGTGGATCAGGACTTCTCTTATTGGTAAGTGCAAACAAAATACTGTCGCATTTATGCTATGAACCTGTCAGTTTTTTCCCTTAGATTTTTTCTCTCCATTTCTTGTTTACGAATTTACACGATAACCGATGGGACTTGTCCCCAAGGGGTTCGGAAACCAAGTGGTGCTCTGTATATACACACATTATATTTAAGTATCTACATGTTTTGCTCACCACAACTATACAAATAAGCTGGTATGGTGAGTTCAGGCAAGAAGAGACGTAGCTGCACACAGTTAACGGCTGCCTCCCTCACTTGTTCAAGGTCAAACGCACTAACATTTCTTCCCCCAACAATACTATTTGTGGTGTTATTACACTATATATACACATTATATATAACTACAAAATAAGCCACTCTAGACCGACAACCAGAGCGCAATTCCATGGTTTCCTGAGACTAATGGATGCCTACTACCCTGTACATGATTTACTCACCATAACTGTACAATTAAGCTGGTATGGTGCACAAAGAGCATCGTGGCTACCCTCTACACAGCTAGACAATGTCACCTCCATCACCCAAATGGCTCCTCCTACATAATCCTTTTGTTGTTATTACACTAATACACATGTTATATATACGTATCTACATTTGTGTTCCCATAGAGAACCACTGAGATAGTATGGTGAACGCAGACAGTAACAGGTGGCCACACAGAGTCAGCAGACGGTGCTATCTCCCTCCCTCTCTCAGCATTACTCCTCCCACCATACAGCACAGTGCTAATTATCACAACAATCCTGCTAATATCAGAATCCTGGTCATTTTTATCACAGTCAAGGGTCTTCTGTAATACTATCATTGCTAAATAATACCAGTTACATATGTTTTCTGAGGGGTGCCCCATCGGCTCCCCGGAGCTATCCAGGCTGATATGTGCTTAATTAGTTTTCTGGCATCAGTCAAAGTGCATGGAGTTCTGCCTACCGGGAACCATGGCCAGAACCTGGCCCCCTCAGAGAGGCGCGAGGAACAATGGCCTATAGAAACCCCGTTTGGTTGGAAGCATTCTATGTCTGCCATCGACTGGGTCTGTCATCCAGAAATGTAGGTGTCCCAAAACAAACCCCTATAATGGTGAAAATTGCTATCGAAAGCTGAACGGGTGGACAGAACTCCCCAAATGAAAACTAGCAACTAGCATGACATCATCACGTCGCTGCGCTGCCATCTGCGCAACCAAAATGAGGACAGACACGACAGACTATGGAAGATACGGAAGGTGTTAAGTTACACGAGAGGGAAGTTCTGCGATTATTTTGTACCTGCACAGAATGTGGTAATCGACGAATCGCTTGTACTGTTCAAGGGGCGACTGGCATTCAAACAGTACATCCTATCAAAGCGCCACCGATTTGGACTCAAGTTTTTTGTGCTGTGCGATTGTGAGACTGGTATCGTCATGGACATGATTCTGTATTCTGGTAGACGTTAACATACCAGCTCAAGATGACCACGGGTTCTCCTGGAACCGTTGCTGAACAAAGGGCATATACTGTTCACTGACAACTATTACACCAGCCCCTTGTTGACCAGATACCTCCTTGCCCACAACACCAGTGTATGGTTTTTTTTTTTTTTGAGATATATACAAGAGTTGTTACATTCTTGTACAGCCACTAGTACACGTAGCGTTTCGGGCAGATCCCTGGAATACGATCCCCTGCCGCGAAGAATCGTTTTTTCATCCAAGTACACATTTTACTGTTGCGTTAAACAGAGACTACAGTTAAGGAATTGCGCCCAGTAAATCCTCCCTGGCCAGGATACGAACCCATGACATAACGCTCGCGGAACGCCAGGCGAGTGTCTTACCACTACACCACGGAGACTGTACAAATGTGGCACTGTGAAGGCCCACAGGAAGGAAATACCAGTGTTTGGCATAGATATAGCAGTGGGTGATTGCCAGCTGTGCAAGTGTGACAATATGCTCTCAGTGTGGTGGAGGGACAGACGCGAGGTGAATATGCTGACTACGATGCACACCGATGCCATGTTGGACAGTGGCAAAGTCCACTTTCAAACGCGCTTCCCCATTTATAAATCAAACTGTGTCATAGACTACAACAGGAACATGCGCCTCGTAGATAAATATGACATGATGCTCAGTGCAGTGGCGTGCGTGCAGAAGTCTGTGAAGTAGACGAAAAAGTTCTTTTTCTGCTTAATAGATGTTGCAGTGCTCAACTGCTTCAATATGTACCTGGTAAAATCTGGCAGGAGACCGCAAATACGGACATTCAGTGTTGCTGTTGTGTCACAACTGCTAGTAAAGTACAGCGAGGGCGGCTCTGTTTCACCGCGCAGGGGTGCATGCAACAATGCCATACGCAGATCCAGACAGACTGAGGGGTAACGAGATGTTTGGTGTCCACATGCTCGAATATATGCCAAGCACAGCATCACGGGATAAGGGTAAACGTGCCTGTATAGTATGCAAAAACACTACCCGAAGAGAACAAAAGCGGAGATGCATCAGCACCTGGTGCGTGGAGTGAAAGGTTCCATTGCTATGCCCCATTGGCTGTTTCACAGCATATCACACACTCGTGGAGTTCTGAGTGTGTTTATGGTGTGTGTGTGTGTATATAGTATGTGATACTGTAAGTGTGTAAATAGATGGTTAATATACATAAATTAGCATGTTACATTGGAAATATGCGCACACGTGTTAGGCACATAACACAGTGTCTTCGGACAGTACAGATGTTCTACTTCCATAATATAGTGTATGTGTTCATTATACATAGGATTGGCACAAAAAAAAAAAAAAAAATTATTTGGAACCGTGTGCAAAAAATGAACAAAAATATATTCGTGGCAACTCGCGCATCTTGAGCTGGGTGCCCTACTGGTACCGGGAGCGTACACCACAGGCGACCAGGGAATGACGACGACACGCGCGAACTTATGAACCCCATTGTGGCCAAAGTAAGTACAATTTTGAATTTTTGTTAACATATCCATACTCAGGGAAGGGTTTTTGACACTTTGCCTCTAATTGTGGACTTTTCGTCTCTATGTCGTTGAATGTTTCCGTTGTACCCTCTCAGGCTCGTGGGGTGGGCGACCAAGCCCCCGAGTCGGCCTGTATTGGAAGACCAGCTGTAGCTCCCGCTGCGTTGGGCCCCGACCTTGCTCCTCCTTTGACCGTCCTGACTTCTTCCCCCAGCTCCCCTCCCTCCTCTGAGGTTGGGTCGAGCAGCCCCTGGTGGTGACCACTTCGTCCCCTGGTGTGGTACCGGGAGCGTACACCACAGGCGACCAGGGAATGACGACGACACGCGCGAACTTATGAACCCCATTGTGGCCAAAGTAAGTACAATTTTGAATTTTTGTTAACATATCCATACTCAGGGAAGGGTTTTTGACACTTTAAAAAAAAAAAATCCAGAGAATTTATTTCCTGCGCTGAATTTATTTTCCGGTGCTGTATTTGGAAGGCGAGCAGGACAGTGGTTAAACTACTACTATCTTTTTCGCTCATAGTACACCGACTCTTACACACACTCTGATATTTTGTATTGCTTAATTAATAGAGATTCACAAATAAAGCTTATATTTGTATATATTATCAGAAAGGTAGAGATAAAATAATTTGTGTGAATCCATCACTGAGATTTGATCTTATTAGAGGGGAAAGAATTGCCAAAACTGCAAATAAACTACTGTGCGGTATATACAAATAGCAAGGCTTTGCTGGGTTTTTTCAAAATCCAGCTCTTCATAATGGGCTGCTGGTGCTTGTGATTATAATGTTCATGCCATTTTTTGTCCTGTCATTAACATGAATTGTTTTACTTTACAGGAAACCAGTTATTTGAATCAAAAGGCAGACATGTTCTACAGACAATGGGTTCCGACCGGGGCATAGTGAGGTTGCGACGGAAGAGTCGCGCCGAAGAAAGAAGACGGCTAAAGAAAGAAAGAAGGGATAGGCGTAGAGAACGTAAAAGGAAGAAGGATTCTAAGAATGACAGGATTCCATTAAGTGGATAGTCCATTTTATGTTGACAAATGTAACCCATGTTGTCTCATGGTGGCATTGCCAATGTTTATATCTGCATTTCAGACTATACTTTCCAAAAGAGTTATGTTGAACAACGAATTACTCATTAATAACAGATTCTAAATATATTGAGGAAGTATGCAGCTCCCAAACTCAGTAAATCATTGTTAGGCAGGTTCTTCATTGTGCGTGTACTCATTGAGTACCACAGTAGTTAGTAATACTGCACAATATCACCTCTTAATCTCTAGTTTATTATGTAACAAGGTAGATAAAGATATGTCCACAGAACTGGTCAATCTGTGCAAAGATTCCAGAGAAGACAATGCTACCATTGATAGCTGTCAGGAATAGCTTAAATACTGTTTTGCCAAGTTGATGGGCACTGTACTCCCAGCAATACATATGTTTCTCAGTGATGAAACATGGGAAGCAAATTAGTGGCAATGAGCATGAAAATATTATCAAGAGCTGTAAATAACTTTATTGTAACTATTCTGAGAAATCAGGAAGAGAATGCAGAATGTATTTATATTTAATGGCATTTTATTACATATACAGAATGTATAATATCCCTAGAGACCTGATAACACCATACTGAAGACTGTAGCATGGTTGAAGCATAATGAGACTAATATTCTTAAGATCAATAGAAATATATAACTTGAGAGGAAATATTATTTACATACCACTGTATAACAAGAGGAAAGCCTCGGCAACAGTACTTGACCGTAACACAACTACTGTAGAAGTTCGCTAATCTGGACTATATGGGAAGGACCCCATCCGGGTGAGCCCCCTCATCCAGATCAAAGGATGTTTCATCAGGGAAGTCCAAAAGTGAACATTTCCAAACAATTTTGTACCACAATCAATATAATTTGGATTTCCACACATTATAATTAGTGTGTGGGGCTGGGTGGGTTGTTAGCTGCCTGGCTGATAGGTGGGTGGGTGGATAGCAGGCAAATGGGTTTGGTAGTTAGAAGGTGAGTGAACAGGTGGGTGGGTGGGCAAGCAGGCAGGTGGGTTGGTAGACAGGCAGGTTGGTGGGTAGGCAAGCAGGTGGGTGAAAAGGTGGGCTAGTTCGTAACTAGCTCTCCACGGCAAAAAGACGAAATATATAATTCAACAACTGCACCACCTCCGACCCTCCCACCCTTCTGAGAATCTACCCTCCCTGACCGCCACCCTCCCCCCCTTGCTAGGGTTAATGCGAGACTCGCATCTGGTACACACTTCTCCACACACACCATGTTGTTGTTGTTTTAGATTCAGCTACTCGGAACAAAGAGTTCAAAGTATCACAGGCTATGGTGAGCCCGTAGTGGACTTACCTGGCACAGAATGGGGCACAGAAACTGTAAACGTGCCACCTCCCACATGACATTCAAAGATCCACCACACCCAATCCTGACATGCACCACAACCACTCCTGACATCCACCACACCCACCACACCCACTCTTGACACCCACCACACCCACTCCTGAAACCCACCATACCTACTCCTGACACCCACACCCACTCCTGATACCTACCACACCTGCACCCACTCCTTATACCCACCACACCTACACCCACCACATATGGTTGTACACACACAAGGGAACACAGGTGGAAGCTGAGTACCCAAATGAATCACAGAGACATTAGAAAAAAACTTTGTGTCCCTCAAACTTTTTCAGTCCCATTGAACTTTTTCAGTAGTACTTTTCAGTCCCATTGAGTTTTTTTGGTAGTTAGCAAGTGAAATTCAATAGAAAGTGATGTGGTGGAGGCTGACTCCATACACAGTTTCAAATGTAAATATAATGGAGCTCGAGAAGCTCAGGAATCTGTACACAAATAGATTGACGGTTGAGAGGTGGGACCAAAGAGCCAAAGCACAACTTGACGAGTACAACTAGGTGAGTACACCCACACCCACTCCTGATACCCTCAACCATACCAACCTTCCTGCTTGCCTGCCCGAAGCCTGACTCTCCTTTCCTGGTGGTGGTGTACAACGAGTGTTAGGCAGGGCATTTCACTTGTTTATCTCTTGGCGGTAAAGGTTCACATTTTATATTCGGCGGCAAGTCAACCCTTGGTTTTGAAAAGATTTTTAGGCTTCAAAAGTTGACTTATATGCCAGCATATACAGTAAACTCTCTGCCTGTATTTGTATCCAAATAAATCTCCAGTCATCCAGATTCTATGGACATTTCACCTGGATGGGGGATGTACTGTAACATTATCCAGAGGCAATTTTGGCCGGATTAGCCTGTTTTCTTTCTCAGCAGACTCTGGATTAGCGAACTTCTACAGTATAGTGTTGTAGTTACCATTTACTTCGTATAAGACGAGTGCTCGTAGCATTTATGCCATGTTCACATTATATACCATCATATTTCTATTTATAATTACTTATCTCCTTTTATGTGCTAGTTGGATGGATGAAAATTCCTAATTTCTTGTTGGACTTTTAACAAGATAATTCTTACCTTGTGTGATAGTTGTACTGGAGTACAAGTATTTATGAACCAGTCAGACCAAGATTTTAATGTTATGTGGGTTGGACTGCAATCAGATATTTCTAAGACGTAGTTGAATCTGGAGTTACTGTCTCCACTCGATTATCCAGACTATATGGGAAGGACCCCCAGCCGGATAATCACGTGTTCTGGATAATGGTACTTTTTCACCTCTTGAGTCTAAAACTAACCATTTCCAACTATTATTATACTGCAAACAACATAATTTGAATTGCCTTGCCACATATAATTATTAAATATTCAACTAGAAACCTCAACTTACCTTGTTGTTCATCTTCTTGATTGATGCCACACATCTTGAAGTTAAAAATTCTTGACAATTTACGTAACCTATACTAACACAACACTAAAATTAACACTTAAAATTACTGTACAGTTCATTAAGCAGTTAGTTTGACTGCCAGCTGCGGAAGCCTCACTGGTTGAAGGCATTTGGCTTGCCTGTGATGCCTCACTTGTCGAAGGCGCTGGGCTTGCCTGTGATGCCTCACTTGTTGAAAGCTCTGGGCTTGCGTGTGATGCCTCACTTGTTGAAGGCGCTTGGCTTGCCTGTGACGCCTCACTGGTTGAAGGCACTTGGCTTGATTTTCATACCATACATATAAGAATCAAGTGTAGCTTGCCCTCTGTGTTCACTGGCCAGTTGTATGATCAGCTCTTTGGTTTGCCTCAGGTACTGATACATGTTTCCATCTTCTGGATGAGCACAGTTGGATGAAAAATTTATTAATCCATCAACATAGGTCATGAGTACACTGTATTTTGTGGTCATTGGTGTTGGTTCTTCACTTCCTTCTTCATCCTCCTCCTCCTCTTCGTCTACCTCACCAGTAATAGACTGGAGAATCTCGTCTTCACTCATCACACCATATCCTGGGTCATTGACATCTCTTTTAACCCAATCAACCACATCCTATCTTTCTAAGTTTTCGCCGGCATTTCTGAACATTCCATGGATTTCATCTATAAATCCTTCAAAATCCATTTCTTCATACTCCTCATTTCTGACCGTAGACGTGAGGAGTTTTTTCCAGGAATTTTTCAAAGTCGATTCCCTTACTTCACTCCACACCTTGGCCCAATTATAGATGGCTCTCTTGACTGTATAGTTCTTCAAATTCTCAAGGTTTTTTTTAGCCCTGTTATCCATACAGAGTTCAATATCTTCCGAAAGAGGCAAAACCACCAAAACTTCATTCAGCATCTTTTTCGTGTACAACCTCTTCGTGGCACAAATAACTCCCTGATCCATAGGCTGGATGAGAGAGGTTGTATTAGGAGGAAGTGCCATACACGTTATCTTGATATCATGTGAGGTTAACATGTCAATTTTGAGGTGGGCAGGCGCATTATCAAGCATCAGCAAAGCCCGAATTTCGCTTGGCCTTACTTTGAGTTTCTTAACTTGATTGTGGCACGAACTTCCCTGCAGAACACGTCATGAAACCAAGACAGGAAGATCTCCTGTGTAAACCATGCATTTTGTGGGTTATAATATTTCACTGGCAGTCTGTCCGAGCAATGTTGCAAGACTCTTGGTTTCTTTGATTTGCCAACAATTGCACACGTGATTCTGTCTGTGCTGTCGGCATTTGCAAACATCATGGCCGACAGCCTGTCCTTGTTGACCTTACGGCCTGGCACACAACCCTCACTCCTCATTGCTAGATTTTTTTCTGGTAAACCCTTCCAATACAGTCCAGTTTCATCAGCATTATAAATTTGGTAAGAATATAAATTATTTGACAAAATGTATGCTCTTAATTTCTGTTTAAATGGTTCTGCACTGCTTTCATCTGCACTCAATTTTTCACTGACAATTTTCCTCTTCACAATATTGTGCCTACCTTTGAACCTTGCAACCCACCCTTCACTGGATTTAAAATCCTTTATTCCAAGGCTTGCTGCAAACCTGCTTGCAGCATTTTGCATTTCTGGGCCGTGAATTGTGACGCCAGCTGTGCAGTGCTGAGCAAACCACTTGTACACAGCCTCGTCCAACTGTACATGCATTGAAGTTTTCATAGTTTTTCTACCACACCCTCTGCTAGTGCTTGCACCTTCACTTTCACAGGTTGAAATGTATTTCAGAAATTTCTCTTTATGTTTCCTTATATCAGAAACAGTACTAGTGCCTATATTAAATTCCTTGGCAACACTTGGAAGTCGACCGGCCATTTTCACAAAGTTGTATAACACGTAACTTGTCCTTAATTGTTAGGACAACCTTCTTCCTCTTAACACCTGCAGAACGATTGATGCTGCTACCAGACATAGTCTTGGCCAAAAATGTTCAAATCTACTATCAAAATAAAAAAGTAATTAAAAAAATATTTCGCTAATGGCACAGCACTGTGGTATAACACAAGGGTCAAGAGCACATGACTTGACCAGGCTTGGACGGGTCCAGTTGGGACAGGGAGGAGGTACATTACATAGGCCGCCAGCAGGAAAAAAATAACTATTTTTGAAGGACACTTCAGCCTGTGCAAATTGTTTTTAGGAAACTTGTATTTTCTATTACATAATTACTAGTATTTCTTTTGATTTTGGCTATGATGAATTGTTTTAAAATTAATGGTAATTCCTGTACTGTAGTGTATAGGCCCCTTCACATCCCCCAAGGTGGTCCCACCCAACGCTCCCCTCTCTCCCGACACCACCCACCCCCACCCCCCTCCTCCACCATGCACCTCGAGCCACAGCCAAACGGGATTAATATGGTACAGCCCGCCCCATGGCTTTCATATCCGGACAATTCAATGATTATCTGGCCGATTGTCTGGATAGTGTAACCGGCAGCAAGTTAACCGGCTCCGATTTTTTATCCGGCTACCGGCTCCCATGGCCATTTTGGCCAGATATTGAGAACTTTATCCGGTCACGATTTTGGCAGTATAAAGGCATTTTCCGGATGTTCGAATCCAGGATAATCGAGTGGTTACAGTACTTTAACAGTACTGTAATAAGATTGATAGATTCCTGACAACTGTTCTTTCAGGGATTCCCAAAACCCACGTTAGTATGGTAGTTGAAGAGAGGTAATTATTGATTAGATCACCAACTTACCAAGTCTCTTACTTTATACTCACATTTCATTCATAGGTATCAGTAGACATAAATTTTATATTTAGTTGATATAATTCACATCACCCACCTGTGCTTTCACGTCACGTTATAACCCTTCATCATGCAGTAACCTTAGATATAATCACAAGAAATCTGCATTTTATGTTTGTTCTCTGTGTAGAACTGCACATCAAGTATTTGCCAAAAATGCCAGATCTGTTTATCCAGCAGGTTTACTAATGCAAAATCTTTGCAAACACTAACCATTTAGGCAAAATGCAGTGGTCGAGGGTTATCTTTAAATATCATAACATCGTCAATTTTAGAACTATAGGGAAATTGTTACTGGAACTGTTGACTTTTCAGAGCAGTATTGAGAAGTTTTAATGACACCAAATATTTTTTTATATTTATGTGCCATCTCATTAGTGCTTAATTTTTGAAACATGTATGAGAGTAATATATGTACTAAGTTTCATAGGATTTTAATTAATAGCTCTCTGTACTTTTATGACTGAATACTTGATAAGTCACTTCATGAAATGAAAAACAAACTATTGGTATTGTAAATGTAAAATAAGTATCTGCCATATTAGTCAGAAAATAGTGTTCAACAAGAAAATATTGAAGTTATTTTCAGATTTTATGATGTGTAAGAATAATTCAGTATATAAAGGTCTACAAGCAATTATCTTGTGATTTTTCCTTGTAACATTTTCTTTTGTATTAGAAGCTAATTATTTATAAGCTATTATAATATGGAGAAAATTTCCACAAGTGACTGTTTTAAATGGAGGACAAAATGAATACATAACATGGAAGAAAGCAGCCAGAAGTGATCACATGTCATGTACTGTGTCAGTAACCAGAATTAAGTAATTATCAAAAGAAGGCACCAAACCAGGGAGGCTATGTAGCACCATCAAATGTGCGGGATATTCAAAAGGTGCTAAATATCACTAAGGATGCCAATACGAGAACAAAAGCCCATACGTCGAACAACATCAAAGGTATCAGATTCACCAAGGATTCTATCAAGAGACAGGTGATCACGAGGGACAGTTGGAAAGCAAGACACATGTACTTCCTAGAAGTCAGGACATTCAACAAGAATATGCATGACCGTAAAAGGAACAATGCAGTTTAGACAATAAGGAGCAAGGCGATGCTCCATTAAGTGCCCATGAGTTAAACAGATATGGCCAATACGTAACCTCACCAGAGCCGCTTCCCAACACTGGTTATGGTGGTAGGAGGAAGGCCATGGGAACACACATGCAGCTTGTTACCAATAACAGAAGACCAGTGATCCTGCCAACGGGCATGGACGAGGAATGAATAACTGGGTAGAAGTCCAAATAAGGAACACCTTTGCGAGAATTGGGACAAGTGCGGATAAACTCCTTTGCGGCAGCATCCACACCCTCATTTAACAATTAAACTGCGCAACACTTTATAGGACTTTTTGAGTAACTGAAGTGAAAGTGCACACCCTTTCATATATGTTTTGGAGTACCGGGCTTACTCCAAAACATATATGTACCGGGCATATGTGTTTTGGAGTACTTCCTCCGGGCTCTTGTAAACAGACGCCACTTTTTAAAAAATCATGGGCAACATTCCTGGGTGTGAAAGCCTCAATACTGAGTGAGCCACCAAGGCTGGCACATGCAGCATGAGCTAACAGCATTGCTGTTCAGCTTGTGACAACAGCATCGCCAAAAAATTTAAAAAATTTATACATAACTGGTATTATTTAGCACTGATAGTATTACAGAAGATCCATGTGATAAAAATTACCAGGTTTCTGATAATAGCAGGATTGTTGTGATAATTTGTGCTGTGCTGTCCGAGGAGTAATGTAGAGGGTGGGAGGGCTGTAGAGTCGTCTGCCGAATGTGTGTGGCCACCTGCTATTGTCTGCACTTACTATACCAGGTTTGTGGTTCGCTATGGTGAACACATACATTTCTTTAAAGAATTTGACTGGAAAGACTTGCTGTTAGGACATGAAGTAAATGAGATATATGTCAAGTTTTGTGAAATATATGATAAAGGCACAACAAAATTTATACCAAAGCAGAGATGCAGAACTAGGAAACAGGATTGGTTCAACAGAAATTGCGAGAGGAGCAGAGACCAAAAGACACAAAAATGGAATCAATATAGGAAGAGGCCAAACCCTCACACATACTAGCGATACAAAGATGCGAGAAACAACTACAGTACATGGCAGTGAGGAGAGAGGCAGAAATTAAAAAAAAAAAGGGATCACAGACAAATGGAAAACATAACCAGGCCTATTCTATAAATTCATAAACAACAAATTGCAGGTAAAGAATAACATTCAGAGGTTGAAAATGGGAAACATTCACGGAAAATGAAAAAGAAATGTGTAAATGTGTGAAACATTAAACGAAAAGTTCCAATGTATGTTTGTATAAAATGAAATCTTCAGGGAATCAGACACAATAAGAATTCCAGAGAACAAGATAGAGCACAGTGTCTAGAGGAGGAGTGGAAAAAATCCTCAAGGAGCTAAGTAAGAACAAAGCAGATGGTCCAAATGGAGTTTCACCATGGGTTCTAAGAGAATGTGCACCTGTGCTCATCATTCCATTTCAACTGATTTTTCAGGCATCCCTGTGTACAGGAGTTGTAGCTGATGTGTGGAAAAAGGCTAACAGTTCCAATCTACAAAAGTGGAAAAGAAACTTTCACCATAAAGGTTAGGGCTCTACAAATTTTAATAAGCAGGACCCTCGATGCAGGTAAAGCACAAAATGAGGGTACACATGGCAAGTCTAGATGTGCTACAAGAGTAGGGTCTGGGCAAGCCCATGCAGTGTAAAACATCAAGCAAGTAATTATCAAAAGACGGCACCAAACCGGATAGGCTATGTAGCACCATCAAATGCGCGAAATAACCAGAGGGCGCTAAATATCACCAAGGATGCCAATACGAGAACAGAAACGCTTGTTTCAAGCGCGGGTTGGACAAGTATATGAGTGGGATTGGGTGGTTATAGATAGGAGCTGCCTCGTATGGGCCAATAGGCCTTCTGCAGTTACCTTTGTTCTTATGTTCTTAAACGCATATGGCAAACGATATCAAAAATATCCGATTCACCAAGAATTCTATCCAGGAACAAGTGACCGCGAGGGACGGTCGGAAAGCAAGACACACGCTCGCCCTGGAAGTCAGGACATTCAACATAGATATGCACGACTGTAAGAGGGACAATGCAATTTGGACATTAAGGAGCAGGGCGGCGCTCCATTAAGTGACCGTGAGATAAGCCAGTATGGGCAATATTGCTAGAACCGTTTCCCACTGCCTGTTACGGTGGTAGGAGGAAGACCACGGGGACACAACGCTTAAGAGTACACAGTTTGTTACCAACAGCCCTGCCAACAGACAAGGATGGAGGAATGAATAACTGGGTAAAAGTCAGAATAAGGAATAACTTTATGGGAGATGGGACAAGAACGGATAGCTTCTCTATCGGCAGCATCCGCACGCTCATTTAAAGAAACATCAATATGGCTGGGAACTCAGCAAAATTCTACGGATTTAAATTTACTAGAAATAAGAAACGGCCAATGTTGAATCTCGACGACCAGAGGCTGGACAGAATTAAAGGCCCCGAGAGCCATGAGGGCACTACGAGAGTCAACTACAACCACAAAGGAGGATTGACGAGAAAGCAGGAGATGGAAAGCATAGAGAATAGCATAAAGTTCCTCTGTGAAGATGTTAGTCTCCGAAGGGAGGCGACATATAAGTGCGGTCAGGAAAAACAAGAGTTGCCTACACCGTTCACAGAATTAGACCCATCGGTGAAGATGGAAACGGAGCGGGAGTGCGAAGAAAAGTGCTCAAGAAAAAAAAAGTTTCAGAACCGTAGGAGGGATAAAAGCTTTAGTGATGTGGGTCAAGGATGTACAAAGCTTTGGAATGGGGACTCCACGGGGGCAAGGAACAATACGGGGAGAAACATTAGAAATACGAACTGAAAGATAATGTAAAACATCAAAACAAAGAGCTAAGGGTGAAGCCGACAAATATGCAGGGCAAACAGACAGGTTTATCTTAGCACCATGTCTAGATAACCATTAACTATTGTGATGCGCTGAGTTTATTGTGAAATGCATGTGCGCATGAAATCCAGTGTTCCCAAAAAATTATTTTTTCTTATGAAAATTATGAATTCTCTTCCCTTAACATGTATATGTAAAAATAAATGTCAAATTCCACTTACTTTGGCCGTGAGGATGTGGACATCACATCGACAGTTTTATTTTTTTACAGTAAACTACAATTTCAAACTAAATTTTTCTAGTGGCTTTACATGAATGTAAAAATACCAATATAATGTAATCTCAACAACCCATTGTATCTTCTTGCAAATAAATTATTATTATTATTATTACTATTATTATTATAGGTGAGTAGTGTACGTGACACACCGCACACATTTACGCTGATAAGCTGGGTCTGATAAGATATATAGAGTATAAATTTATAAATGCGTAACTGTGAATATTATGCAAGTGGAGCCCATGCAGAACCTGAACCTCAGTTCAGGTTCTGATGTCTCTTATGCGCTTGAAGGAGACCTCAGCTCTAATTACACTAAGACAAATGGTAATGGCAGCTTCATATGCGGGATAGTGTGTCTCTGGAGCTGACTTTCGGTGACCACTAATGCGTATGTGCTGACATTTTTCCCCGGGCCGGGACAGTCCCGGGGATGTCCTTACAGGAAGTGGATGAGGCGCAGCGCCTGAATCATGAGTTAACTTGGTCACCGCCCGCCATGCTTCTCCTCCCTCACCGTCCTCACCCCCCCCCCCCCCATGCTTCTCGGGGGCGGGGGCCCGGGGTGGACTTGGGGGCGGGGGCCCTGGGTGGACGTGAGGGCGGGGGCCCGGGGTGGGCGTGAGGGCGGGGGGCCCGGGGTGAGCGTGAGGGCGGGGGGCGGGGGGCCGGGGGCCCGGGGTGGGCGTGAGGGCGGGGGCCCTGGGTGGGCGTAAGGGCGGGGGCCCGGGGTGGGGGGCCCAGGGTGGGCGTGAGGGTGGGGGGCCCAGGGTGGGCGTGAGGGCGGGAGCGGCTGATGCAACTATGTAGTGCTCCGCCACCACACAACTCCCAGTTAGACTTAAATTAATAACAAATCTAACACCTAATTTCACAAAATATATCTTGATGTAAGGTATGAGGAGAAGAGGAGAGAGTGAGCGATGAGTGAGCGATGAGTGAGTGAGAGTGAGAGGTGAGTGAGAGAGTGAGGAGTGAGTGTGTGAGAGTGAGAGGTGAGGGGGGACTAGATGGTGTGGCGGAGGATCGACGTGACGCGACTGTTTACAACATGGCCGCCACGATGACAAACTAACACTTCCCCAGAGCGATGAACATGGATCCTACGCCCCGCAACTCTAACTTAGCCAGCCAACGCATGATGTCTTGTGGATTCCTGGACTGTGGCTACGTGTATCAGTGTGTTATTGAGGCCAAGAGGCACCAGGAACGGTGTGAGAAGACTGTCAAGTGTGGTAGCTGGGCGGCCAGACGGCCCTGGCGCGTAGGTCTACATCACCCACATATTACCTCTCCCTCCTGCACTTATCTGTTGCTTTAAGGTGAGATATGTATAGCCTTAAGTTTGCCGGATATGAGGTCTTATGTGGTGATATTTGGCTTGAGCATGGCAGGGCGGGTTGAACTTCCTGAAGGTCGAGCAGATTTGGGTCGATTTTTAATAGTTTTTTTATATATTAAACATGTAATAAAATATAAAATCCTCGCATGAATGTGAATATCTTCGAAGGTCACTATAATTTCATAAAAAGTGTGTGAATGATTTGTTGCATCACTGTGTACAAAGAGAGATGTGTAATTTATCCTCCCTTGTAACTTTGTGTAAAATTAATTTTGAGATGAACTTCCTACGTCAGTGGGAGTAGGAGTAGGAAGTTGATAAAATTAACAGGATTCATGTGTCCAGAAAAATAAGAAACCTAAACTCTTGTACACGTGCTGAAGTGCAGTACATGTACAAGAGTTTACATGTGCTGCATTAATCTTGCTGGAAATTCATACTGGTAGCTAATTTGGTGGGAGTTGAGCCTAGTGGGCTACTATCAAAGTGCACATAGATGTTAATCTAAATGGAATAAATAAGGGTGAGAGAATAAGTGCCATACCAGTTCATAGAGGCAGTCCGGCAGGCATAAACAATTATAGACCAATATCAAACCTACCCATACTATCAAAAATATTTGAAAAAATTATCTACAAACAGCTCTACTCCTACCTCGTAAAATTTGACATACTCAGTCCTGTCAGTTAGGCTTCCGCTCCCAAAAGAGTACCAATGATGCAATTATTAGTCTCCTTGATATAATCTACTCAGCCCTTGACAAAAATGAGTTTCCGATTGGACTCTTCATTGACCTGAGAAAGGCCTTTTGATACTGTTAATCAGAACTACCTCCTACTTGAGCTCCATTATGGAATCTGAGGCCTTGCCCTGGACTATATCCAATCCTAACTTAGTGATAGACACCAATGTGTAGCCATCATAACCTCTCCCACTCTACCAATAACCGTTGGAGTGCCACAGGGCAGCATCTTTGGACCTCTCCTATTTCTTATATACATCAATGATATGCCTAATGTCTCTAACATTCTTAAACCTATATTGTTTGTTGATGATACTACCCTCTTCTACTCAGACCCCAACCCCCACACAAACACTTTTGCACACTTGGCGCACGAGCCCTGCACTACCTCGGGGGTTTCAGCGTTTCAAGGGAGCACACGGTAATTTTGAAAAGTGTATACTCTTTTTAACTTTGTTACCTCAAATCTCGTCCAAGGTTTTTCAATTTGGTATCATTGTGTTTGCAATAGAATTCTCTACAGGACTAAAGGCATATAAACTCAAAAAGCCTGGCTTACTACCCGCAGCAAACAAAGTGAGAGCGAGTTACCCGGGTGCGCGCAAGAGCAATGAAATGTGTACACTCTTTTCACTTTGGTCACCTCAATTCTCTTCAGGAATAAATGCATATGAACTCCAAAAGCCTGGCATACCACCCACAGCAAACAAAGTGACATCGCATTACCCCCGTGAGCGCTAATCAAGCACAATAAAATGTGTATACTCTTTTTCAACTTTATATATAAGGTATATAAGGTCCAAACCCGCGGCCCTCCCACAGCCAAGTGCGAATGCTAGGCACAGTTTTTAACGGACGACGCAATGCTGCGTCGTTACCGGGACTTCTGTTGTTGAACGGACGACTCGATGCTGAGTCGTTACTGAGCAGTCTACTTATGGATGTCAACCAACAAACTAACATTAAACATAGAAAAGACCTACTACATCTTATTTGGAAGCAAATCAACAAATGCAATTCAGCTTCAGATAGACAATGTTAACATCAGTGATAAAAATGATGGAAAGTTTCTTGGCCTATTCCTAGACAAGAGACTGAACTTCAGCACCCACATACAGCACATAACTAAGAAAGTCCCTAAAACAGTTGGTATACTCTCCAAAATCAGATATTATGTACCTAACTCTGCTTTCATCTCACTATATTATGCACTAATTTATCCCTATCTTAATTATGGTATCTGTTCATGGGGTTCAACCACTGCATACCACCACAAGTCCATCATCACCCAGCAAAAATCTGCTATCAGAATAATAACAAACTGCTTTCAGACAACACTCAGCCCCCTTGTTTAAATCCCTAAACATGCTAAACAAACTCACTCCACACATTCTCTTGTATCAATTACATTTACAAAACCCTGTTCTTAAATGCAAACCCTGCTCTGAAACTCTCCCTGGACAGATGTAATTGGACCCATTATCACCCCACCAGAAATAAATATCTCTTTGATATCCCCAGAGTCAAACTTAATCTTTCTAAACACTATGCAAATAAAGGGACCTAGTCTATGGAACTCACTCCCTAATGAATTGAAAAGCTGTCCAACTTTTGCCTCATTCAAAAACAAAACTAAAAAGTATCTAATTTCATCTTCATAGTTTCCTACCTTGTGCTTTAAAATTGCACTGTATCTAGTGCTACCCAATCTCTTATTCTTTATGTACCTAATCCAAGCAACTTTACCATTGTGATAATTGCTGTCATATATGTGCTATCAATATGCTGTATTGTGCCTATTAATCTTTGTTAAACTACCAATCACGCTGTCAATGCAATCAATCAGAGCTACCAATGTGCTTTAATATACCTACTAATCTCTCTCATCTCATTTTTTTTCTTGCAATGTACCTGTTATCATTTTATAAATTCTGCTAGAATTTAACAACTTAACACTATCCTGGATTTTCCACTTGGAATTACGGGCGTTTTGCTTAACCGCTTGTCGGATCACGATGTAAATTTACGGACCGTGTTATATTGGGTATTTACTACTCGATCGACTTGGGGTTTGTATGAATATGTTTGCCATTAAATTTTTGTTTTCTCTAATAGGCACTGTGCCTATTTGAGAAAACGGCAATGTATTGTAACTTAGAGGAGAGACTATTGAATTGGTGACACAACGAGGGTAATCGCGCACTCCACACGCTCTTGTGTTGGCCGCGATCATGATTCTACATTTATATGCATATGTCTGTGTAGATAATTTTATTCCGAACACTATACAAACAAAAAAAAACGGAGTGAATCAAGTATAAACCTGAAAAAACATGAGCAAAGTAAAAACTTTTTACGCTCACGGGTACAAACACGCATAAGATTTTATTCGCCGCAAATTTATTTTATGCTCTGTTGGCCAATTCTACCCATGTTCTTATAGAACTTTCTATTGCGAACACATTGCTATAAAAATGAAATATGTAGCCCGAGAAATAATGTCATGACAGTGAAATAAGTATAAACTTTCAAAGCGCTGCATCACAACAGTGTCGTCGCTGCTGAAATCACGGCTAACGCTTCGCCCAGTTCCCACACTCGTGCGGAACATAATTAGACATTGATAGGCATATGTCTGGGTGGGGAATTTTATTGCGAGTTCAGTGATATCAAAATAAGCGCTGTAGGATGACACTGAGGCTGGCAACAAACGAAAGAGTATGAACATTTAAATCCTGTTTGGGTGCCACGGCGAGTCATCTTCGTGTTTATTTACTTCGTGGTGGGATAGCAAATGCTTGGGTGACATTTTATGCATATGATCTTGTAGAGAATTTTATTGCCAACGCATTGATACCAAAATGAAAAATGTAGCTCGAGAATTCATGTTAGGAGCGTGAAAAGATTATAAATTTTTTTGTGTTTACGCTTGAGCGCCCAGAATGCCGCGCGCACCACCCGCTTTTTTTTTTTTGGCGAGTGCCGCGCGCACTAAAGTGTTAAAATTATGTTAGATTAAGGACCTGCCCGAAACACTGCGCTTACTAGTGGCTTTACAAGAATGTAAACACCATGCTATGTATCCTCACAAACCCAATGTACCTTCTTGTATATAAGTAAATAAATAAATAAGTGAAAGTAAATTCAATACATTGTGAGGTATTGTGTTAGGATATGATTCGAGATATCATGACGGGAAGGATATACCTATTCATATTATTGTTTGCCTTTTTTTATATGTATCTTTGTTATTGTTTTCCTCCAGAAATTAAGGCAAGTTTTATTTTGACAGGAACATTGAAAATGAGTGTGTGGATGGGGTCCCAGTCTGGTGGGTGGCCAGGGGGCACAAATATGAACCGTCACGACAAGGTTCAAGTGGTGCCGCAAGTTACACTGCAGCTTGACGTCCATCCCCCTGTGTTGGATACTTGTGGACTTGAAGTGCCAAGAAAGTCGTACTCCAAGCCAGGTAATGCAATGTCTGGTTACTTGTTGTAGCTTGTTGGTGTAAATGTGAAGTGTTATCCCCTGTCCATCCACTTGGATTGGTCGGTACAGTGATGGTTCACTTGTCGCAGGTGCAGCGTTTATTCCCCAATGATTCTAGTGGTTGTGTGCCGTTTTCAAGTGTGTCATATCGCATTCTACACTGTTTTACTGTCTTAGTGTTTTCTCCTGATAATTTCATTTCTTGGTTGTCTACCTACACTAAATTATTCAGTTGTTTGTGGCGATTACCTTTTACCCATGGTCATAATTGTTTTATTTAAATTTCAATCATATTACTAAGAATGCTGTGTATAAATACAAAATTCTATCCCTACTAAATCTATGTCTTTGCAATACTGTATAGCGGTAAACTTGTTTTTTACGTGCAGGTTATGGGCTTGTAGCACTTGAGCTAAGAGCTGCTATTCAGCGGTTGTTCAACAATGCACACTGCTAAAAAAAAATTCTCTTGTTAATTGGGATATTGAAATTATCCTCCTCTTAGCTTCTTTTCCCTGCTGTACTTAGCCTAGGAAAACATTGGGTAAAATTATCATAGTTGTTTACAGATGACAAAAAATAGCTCATAAGTTAAGAAGTTATACTGTACTCGAGTATGAATCTTAAGAGAAGATATTTTTCTATAGAATTACACCAACACTGTAGATGGTTTCCACATATGGGAAGCCTGCGTGTTTTATTTATTATAAACATAATAAGTCTTGAATACAGTCTGGGTAATACACCATATTTATGATAAAATATGGTGACTCGGGGAAATATATACTGTTGAGGTGTATATTTATCTATATATGTGTATATAACTACAGTATTAAATAAATTAGTGTTATATTTTGTAAATATACATCTGGAAAGAGCATGTGTCTTTCTTGCTAGAAAACTATTTGCCATTGAGTATTTTGGTTACCTTTCAGTTCTCAGTACAGATGGGACGAAAGACATATTGCAACCAAAAGCTTAAGAGTAATTATCTCTTTGTGGCAACTCTGGCCTGACAGCTGGCAAGCAACAGACCGCCTGGGATGCACGCTGAGTCAGCGCCTGTTTTTTGCCAAACTTCCCTGCCCTATAGCGGGCAATATATGCGACTTACAATTTTTTTATTATTTTTCCCATGATCAGTGAACACAAATTAACAGGTTAGGAAGAAAAGATTTTTTTATTTTTTTTTTGTATGCGCCTGTGGGTGTCAAATGGTATATAGCCATGCGCCATTTAAGGGTTAAGGAAGCCTTCGAAATCTGTATCCTAACATTCAGGATTTGCAAATAAAGGGTCAATTTTTTCTCTTTATTTTTAATGGCAAATACAATACAGGTTTTAGACTTACAAATAATATCAGCAATGATTTTTGTAGCATATAAACATTAATTATATAGATTAAATATCTACAAGGTAGACATTGGTAGGCTGGTTTTAGTAACTCAGAAGCAACATCATGCAGTTATAGTGCAATGTTGTGCTGTTAGTTTAACCTATGCATCCACTCTGAATTGGCCTTGAAGTTCAAGGCCAGTTCGTAACATCCCATGCCTTGAAGTGACATCATATCCTTATAGGCATGGCAAAGGACTACAAATTGTACAGGAAACTCAATTACCTTGTATCCACTGCCTCTCAGCCGGTGTTTGTGGCCTGCTGGTTGATCACCCCATCCCTATGCACCCCCAGTTCACACTGACAATTTTTTGCTCTTCATCCTTCAAGGTGGAGTCCTGGCTCCACCTCTCTCCTAGGCCTATACCCAATCAATTTCAACCAGGGGCAGAGTCTTCCCATGAGACCTGGATGGCACACTGGCTTAAAGAGAGAAGACATACCAGGCCTCTCCATAACCAAACAGCACAAGGGGAAAACTTGTGACCCAAAATTTGATACAATACCCAGGTGGGTGTGACTAATCTGCCTCCAGCAGTCAAGAGAGAGGGAGGGAGATGGGAGGAAGAAGGGGGAGAGAGGAGAGGCCTAATTGTTCACCTGACCATTGCTCCTATGAACAATCTACCAGAAGGAATACAGAATTATATGAACATGTTTGTTGTCAAATTACTAGGAAAGATGAAAAACATAGAGGATTGTTGTGTCCTTCAAGATGACCTTGGCAAAATAGATTTGTATAGAGCAACATTTGACTGTTGGAATTTAATTTGAATAAGTACTATGTTATGGAATGTGGATTGGGTGGTTATAAATAAGAACATAAGAACAAAGGTAACTGCAGAAGGCCTATTGACCCATACAAGGCAGCTCCTATTTATAACCACCCAATCCCACTCATATACATGTCCAACCCACGTTTGAAACAATCGAGGGACCCCACCTCTACCACGTTACATGGTAATTGGTTCCACAAATCAACAACCCTGTTACCGAACCAGTATTTACCCGTCTTTCCTAAATCTAAACTTATCCAATTTATACCCATTGTTTCGTGTTCTGTTTTGTGTTGAAATTTTTTGCACCCTATTAATATCCCCTTTGTTATGTCCATTCATCCACTTGTAAGCCTCTATCATGTCACTCCTATCTCTTCGCCTTTCCAGTGAATGCAATTTAAGCTTCGTTAATCTCTTTTCATATGACAGGTTTCTAATTTTGGTAATTAACTTTGTCATCCTATGCTGGACACGTTCAAGTGAATTTATATCCATTCTATAGTACGGCAACCAAAACTGAACTGCATAATCAACCCCAGCTCTCGATAGATGCACCCCATCACGAGCATACATTTCATTTCTTCCATAGAAGTGTTCCCAGTTGTCTATGAAAGATATTGCATTTGATTTGCAATATCTTTCCAGCCGGCAATTGACACCAAGTGCCCTCGATATCCATTCATTTCCCACTCCCTTTCTTGGAAGAATGCCACATATGATCGGGATTCCTCCCTTGCTCCTAACTAACTCTATGGCTGTTTTATACCTCTGAATCAGTTCCTCACTCCTAACTCGACCAACATCATTTCCTCCCACGCTAATGCAAATAATGGGATTGTTCCCATTACCAGCCATAATATCATTCATGTTGTTTATAATATCACCAATGCCAGCTCCGGGATAGCAAACCCTTAACCTGTTCCCCCTATCTCTAGCACAAAACGTTCTATCCAAATACCTTATCTGGGAATCTCCCACAACTAATGTTTAAATGGGGCCTAACCAGAGACCTAAGTGGGGCCTAAAATAGGAGCTACTGTATCTCGAATGGGCCAATAGGCCTTCTGCAATTACCTTTGTTCTTATGTTATGATTTAGATTCAGGTTTGAGTAGGAACATTGCCAAATTTGCCGATGATATAAATATCGGTAGGGAAATAAGCACGGAAGAAGACTCGCTGTCACTGAAGTCGATATAAATAGAGTTTTGAAATGGTCGAAAGATTGGCAGATGCAGTTTAATGCTGATAAATATAAAGTTTTGATGCTAGGTAATGATGATAGGGTTACAAGATACGAGCTATATGGTGTTGAGATTGTGAAAGGGATCTGGGAGTTATGATTAGTAAGAATTTAAAACCAAAGGATCAATGCATGTATGTTTGTAATAAGGCAAATAGGACACTGGGATTTATTAATCAAAACATTAGTAACAAGACACCTGGTGTTCTTCAGCTATATCTTGCTCCATTTAGATTATGCAGTTAAAAACAAAAGAACAAAGGCAACTGCAGAAGGCCTATTGGCCCTTATGAGGCAGCTCCTATCTATAACCACCCAATCCCACTCATAAACATGTCCAACCCGCGCTTGAAACAATCGAGGGACCCCACCTCCACCACGTTACGCGGTAATTGGTTCCACAAATCAACAACCCTGTTACCGAACCAGTATTTACCCAAGTCTTTCCTTAATCTAAATTTATCCAATTTATACCCGTTGTTTCATGTTCTGTCTTGTGTTGATACTTTTAACACCCTATTAATATTTTCTTTGTTGTGTCCATTCATCCACTTGTAAACCTCTATCATGTCACCCTTAACTCTTCGCCTTTCCAGTGAATGCAATTTAAGCTTTGTTAATCTTTCCCCAAATTAGAAATCTTTCATATGAAGAAAGATTAACAAAGCTTAAATTGCATTCACTGGAAAGGCGAAGAGTTAGGGGTGACATGATAAAGGTTTACAAGTGGATGAATGGACACAACAAAGGGAATATTAATAGGGGTGTTAAAAGTATCAACACAAGACAGAACACGAAACAATGGGTATAGATTGGATAAATTTAGAATTAGGAAAGACTTGGGTAAATACTGGTTCGGTAACAGGGTTGTTGATTTGTGGAACCAATTACCGCGTAAGGTGGTGGAGGTGGGGTCCCTCGATTGTTTCAAGCGTGGGTTTGACATGTATATGAGAGGGATTGGGTGGTTATAAATAGGAGCTGCCTCGTATGGCCCAATAGGCCTTCTGCACTTACCTTTGTTCTTATGTAAATACTAGGTTCGTGTATCTTATACCTGTTATCATGAGGGGGGGTTTACAAGTGGATGAATGGACATAACAAAGGGGATATTAATTAATAGGGTGCTAAAAGTATCAACACAAGACAGAACACGAAATAATGGGTATAAATTGGATAAGTTTAGATTTAGGAAAGACCTGGGTAAATACTGACTCAGTAACAGGGTTGTTGATTTGTAGAACCAATTATCACATAACATGGTGTAGGTGGGGTCCCCTTGAGTATTTCAAATATGAGTTGGACATGTATACGAGTGGGATTGGGCAGTTATAAGTAGGAGCTGCCACGTATGGGCCAATAGGCCTTCTGCAGTTACCTTTATTCTTATGTTCTTATGTTTATACGTTGGGCAGGATTTGGCTTGGGAGGCTATTCTGGTATCTTCAGAGCCGCCTCTTTCACCACTCACGTTTGGTGGGTTCGTTCCCCAGTGTCCTTGCGTCGGTTACTGCGTTTCCGGCTTCCTCTTCAGGATTTTTGGGGTTCGGTGTCATGGCACCTTCCTCTTCCCCTCGCTCGATGTATTCATGGACGCCTCATCTCTTGGTTGGGGCTTTGTGACGAGTGCTTACCAGGCCAGCCAGGGGTATCGGACATCGTCCTTCCTTTAAGTTCACAGCATGGTGCAGTTGTGGATGTGTGTGGCAGGCGCTGCGACAGATCAGTCTACCTTGGGGCTCGGTGATCCGGCTCCATTCGGATTCCCCATCCTTGGTTCATTGTCTCATCCGGGTGGGGTCTATTCGGTCAGTGACTTTGGGGATTGGTGCTTTGGGTAGCTCTTTTGCCGAGTTCTTGGGGTTTAGCTTTCCACGCCGTTTACATTCATGTTGTGTCCAACATCTTTGCTGTCTTTGCTATCGTACGGCCTGTCTCGCTTCATTCCTCTTTTCCACGGAGTGGACAGTTGACGCCGCCTCCTTCTTTTGGCTTTGTCAGAAGTATGGGCACTGGGGGTGAACCTTTTAGTGCCAATAATATGACCTTTGGTAAGGTGTAATAACTTTATTACACCTTACCTTTTGTTCCTGTTGCCTTGCTTTTTCATCCTCCCAAGATTTTCATCTCCTCACCTCTCTCTTGCCTATTTATTGCCATTGCCTCCTTCCTCTAATCATAATCGACTTGATAATGGTCCAGGACGGACTGAAACGTCGTCGTCTCTTCACTTGCTAGTGTGTGGTTTGGTCAACATTTTTTCAGCCACGTTATTGTGATTCCTCGTCTGCACCTGTCTTATGTTTGCCAGCTTCCTGTCTGTTGTTAATGCTACCATATTTGTGTGTGCTCTCAGTATTAGTGATGTGTTGTATCTAGTTAACATTGTTGTATCTGATGCGGTCACTGATAGCAATCTTCCTTTTATGGTGCAATTCTATTCTAGTCTACTTTTATCTCCCACGTTTGATTATCTTGCATTATTTAAGGCTGAATGCCACATGCATGTGCTGTATACACATGAGAGATTGTACCATATTCTTTTATTTCCTTTCTACAGGTGGAGGTTCGGAAAAACAAGGAGGAAAGGGTGCACAGTTTTGGAACTCTTTGCGCACAGTATACAACAGCATCTGTTCAGTGAGAACCCCTGTCACCTGGGTCAACCCAGAGGCTGTTGCTCAGCATCACCCTCTGCCAAGTCAGTTTACTCCTCAGATCCCCTATCAGTGCAGTATGGAAAGAATGTGTGAACCCACAAGTGACCTGTGGTATCCAGTGCAACATGCAAGATCACAATTTGACTTCTTGGACCCTCTCACAATGTGGCAGAATCCTTCCTTTATGCATGACATTTTGCCTACTCCCTATGGCACCCAACTACCACAAAAAGTGTGCAAACCACTGAACCCTGAAGCCAAGGAGTGGGTACCTAAAGAGTACGCTAAGGATTGTGTGTCTTCCACCTCATTCCCGTCTACGACCACCTCTGAGTGCTTGAAAACTGAAGAACCAGTAGTGTCCTTTGACTTGCAGAAAACTGATTTCTGTGAGATAACCAACAGTGAAGTTGAAGCTATTCGATTGATGGAAAACAGTAGTCTTAACAATATCCAAGACGGAATGCTAGAGGTTGAAGAGGAAGGAGTTGAAGTAGAGGAGGAGGATTTTTTTTCAACTACGGAAGGATTTGACATCAGTTCTCCGAGTGAAACACTTGTGGTCGTTCCTAGTGCTCAAGTAATGAACAGCCACATGGCTAAGAGCTGCTCATCCCCTGATCATGGGGTTACTGAGATTAATATCTGTGATAATAATATGGTTAAGGATAATAGACCTTTAAGTTATGCCAGTATTGTAGGCAAAATGGCTTCCGTGCCTGAACCCTCAACTGCTGCTGTTCAGAAGTCTGCACAGAACAAGGTCAGGAATGGTCCAGTGGAGCAGCACATACCACACATTTTTACTAGTGACAAAAAGTACCCTAAAGAAAAGGCTGCACCATCTGTAGATAATAACAACAGCATCCCCCCCCTGTTCAAGAAAGTAACAAGAAATCAGAAAAAATGCAGTCAAAATTTTCTGAAGGAGCTTAAGGAATCTAGCCCAGTCAAAAGCAAAGATTATGGATCGGCAGTTATTGAGCTTGACCTTATGTGTTCCATCCCTGAAATTTCATCACCTCCCAAATTATCTTCAACAGTTACAACTTGTCCAATGGAATCCCCATTAACAGCTTTGCCAAATGATAAACTTCAGTCAACAGAACTGAAGATGCAACGTTCTTGTAGCGAGAGCAGCTCAAACGGCTCTCGTCATCGCACCGTGAGTGAATCTAGCATTACAAGTGTAGAGAGTGTAGACATTGAATTTGGAGATGATGTGGTGGACAGAAGCTGTGCAGTGATAAATATTTGTATCCTACCTGAACAAATTCAACCAAAATGTATTGAAAGTAAAAAATATTCAAATAATGCTCTAGCTCATATTCTTGGCTGTGATGACTCTGAGAGTGAAGATTCTGATGAAGACTCTGAGGATTCTGATAGTGATTGGGATAATGTGTGTGTCAACAGTACAGAGAGTTTTGACCTTGATGATACCTGGGAAACTTTTGGAAATTGTCTTCTGACTCCAGAAGCTGGAAAACCCTCAAAGTTGTCATCATCATCAGCAGAGGAAAACATCACCATAGGTTCTCCTGTAAAGTCAAGTTGTGACCCTGCAAATGAAGAGGATCATACATTTACAGGAGTTACCTTGGAAGAAATCAACAAAAGGTGGAATGAGGACATAGAAAAAGATGTTTTGGGTAGTAGAGAGAGGAAGGTGAAATTTGGGGAAACAAACATTCATCCCATTATTGCTTGGGACTTTGCATACAAAATGGCAAGAAGAGGCCCATGGGAAATGTATGCTCGGGACAGAATGCGGTTCCAACATCGCATTGCATCCCTTGAGCCAATAATTTCTCCTGTACTGCAGGCTGACCATAGAGAGGTATTTTACAAGAAGCAGCAAAGTGAGGCATGTTGTCTCAGCTAACAGTACCTTATCTCTAGTCTTAATATACATTTAGATAGTTCTTTGTTAGATAATCAAGGATGGAGCATGGTATGGCAAAATATAATTCATTCTGATGATTAATTAGAAGTGTGGCAGTGCGGTTGTGTGGTTGGTCTACCATGTGGGATAGAGTTTGCATGTTCCTGATGTCAAACTTTTCAGTTGTATTAATGTTGCTGTAATATTATTATTATTATTAATCTTTTTCTAGATTTTCAAATGTTGGTCATTTGCAAGTTTCCTTTTTCATTAATCATAGCAAGGAAAATAGGTACAACTATTCCACATGGCATCTGGCATTGGTTCTGTTACAGCCTAGATCTCTTACTGGCAATATGGTATTTTAATTGCACATAGTAAACCAATTCCATTGTGGAATTGTAATAGGTTTGTAAGTGGTGTTCTGCTAATGAAGTTCTTTGACTTGTGGTGAAGCAACGTTTCTTCTGGATTATGAAAGGAGAAAATTAAGCTTGCAATTTTCACGATACAAGGAACAGAGCTGAACTAGAAGCGAGTACAAATACCAAAGGAATCAGTTAAGTTTACATGAGTGGGTTAAGTATAATGTTATGTGTTGGAGGATGTGAAGTTGACATTACATATGGAATGTAGGCTGTGATACACACAGTTATGTTTTCTTGCCACATACGAGTTGTGTGATTGTTGCATGGCGTGGATTTACATCCTGGAGTGAGGTAGGGAATAGGTAGGTACGGTATTAGTAAAAAGAATTTGTGTAGCATGTATTGGAATTAATATTTTGCAACATGTGAAGATTAAGAATATTCGGCAGCATTCTTCCCAATAAATGGCAAGAACACAATTATCTGCTGCTAGTGGTAAGCAACTTACTCATCCTGTGCCTTGCTACAATCCGCAACATAGTGTATGAAGTTTGAAAGCTATTGTGTACGTGTTTGTAAATATGTAGATAGAAGGTTAAATAAACATTATTAAGGTAGATGCCAGGAAGGGGATTGGGGCTACCAAGATATTGTATAGTAGTTAATGCACTGTTGATATTCCATCCTGTATAGCAGGTTATTACAAGGCTGCACACATCAGTTTCCTGTTGCAGCACTTCTCTCTTATTGAAGGTTCTACTAATGATTAACTGTTTTTGTTTAGGCTTTGTATAATCCATATAATTAAACATTGGAGCTACAGAGGAATAAACATTTTGGATTTAGTTTTTCAATATAAATTTAGGTATGAATCACAAATAGTACAGTAATGAGAACTTGTCAGGAATCTGGAGTACATGTTTTGTTTTTAACATTAGTTTGTTTACTTCAAAGGAGCAATTTAGTCATACACAACTTGTATTAATGTTATGATGATGAGCATTGTTATCAGTGATAGTCATCACAATTACCAGTGGAACACCTTGTCTGCAAGTTTAGCTGTCATCAGCCACACCTCAAATTCTCATTAGTCTGAATGTACAAGACTCATTCTTTATGTACTTTTGCAGTAACTTTGATGCATATTTAGGAGGTAATGGTTCACGTGTCGGTGAACTGGTGTACAACTGTGACTAGTTAATATATTTGTAATGTGAGCTTAATCTAGGTCAAGCATTTTTTTTTTAATGTGACTGCATACAACCAATATATAAATACTTATACATGTACTGTATATTAATATATAACCAATATATAAGTATTTATATATTGGTTGTATGGCTTTTATTTTTTGTGGGATTAATTTTGTTTAATATTGTATTTATTCAGTGAAATGGGAAATTGTCAATTTGAAACTATGCATCTAAAGGAAGTGTTTTCTAAGCTATTTAGTAGATTGAGTGGATGGCTTTCGGGTTTCTTGGGCGTTAAAATGTAACAACATGGGCCTCGTTACAAGGACCGTGTGTAAGCAACCCTCAATTCAATGTTGGGAACATTTGTGATGTGTATTGAAGTCCAACGGACACGCAGTTTAATTGGTCATACATACCCAGGTTCCTGATCCATGCTCCATTCTCAAGAATTTTGTTTATATATTGTATACTCTCAGGAAATCTTCAATCATTGCATAAGAGAGAGAGAGATTTTATATCCCAAAATTCATATAATATTGGTATTTGTTAATAAAATATATATAATTTTTGTTATCTATCATTATGATTTTTTTTCACCTATAGTTGGGAAACTTATTATGCTTAGGTTATCTTGAGATGATTTTGAGGCTTAGTGGCCCGGTCCTGGACCAGGCCGCTTTTTCTTTTTTTTTTCTTTTTTTTTTTACGCACCCCCAGGAAGCAGCCCGCAGCAGCTGTCCAACTCCCAGGTACTTATTTATTGCTAGGTGACAGGGGCATCAGGGTGAAAGAATTTTTTTGCCCGTTTTTTTTCCTCCACCGGGGATCGAACCTGGAACCTCAGGACTATGAATCTGAAGTGCTGTCAGCGCCCCCGAGGCTAATTGCCCACCTTTTCTATGGTGCAACCAACAATGCTTGTTTAACTTCCACATACCTATTTACTGCTAAGTGAACAGAGGCCTCAGATGAAAGGAAACTTTCAGAAACTTGTCCTTGGTGGGGATTGGAGCCATGACTTGAGTTGATTCAACTGCACATACATATGTATGTATATGTGTGAGTATATATATATATATACTGCCCGAAACGCTTTGCGTAATAGTGGCTTTAGGTATTGTATGTACTAGCTCTATCTATTAATCCAACAAACTTTGTAAAATCTCTTGTATGTATGTACCTTACCTAAATAAACATTTATATATATATATATATATATATATATATATATATATATATATATATAATGTGTGTATATCACGAAAATAAACACGTGATTAAGAATGTGACAATGTCAGACCACGGAGGAAAAATGAAACAGGAATTTCCTTATCATCTGATGGGCCAATGGGCCGTCTGCGTTGTCCAAGTATTGTACCTCACCTTACTTCACCACTCTCTCCTGCCTATTTATACCCATCACTCGATCTGTAAAATGACCTTCTGAAGATGTATTTAATATACGAAAGTACTTATGAAGGAAATTCCTGTTTCATTTTTCCTCCGTGGTCTGACATTGTCACATTCTTAATCACGTGTTTATTTTCGTGATATACACACATATATATATATATATATATATATATATATATATATATATATATGCATACATATATATACATATACACTCACGTACATACATACACATATGCATGTACATAATTATACACATACACCTACATACACACTCAATTTTTCAATTATGGGGGAAGGTTATTCTGGTTAGTATATCATCTGGGAATTATGTATTGTGGGGCGGGGTTTTCATCTAGTGAATCGAGGCTCTTGGGCCACTAGCTGTGGGAGCGGGGCGTCTCATCTTGGAACAATCTTTCTAACATTGGATCCTCTTAACATTTCGATGGTGTTCCACACCCTGATGGCTTGGTGCTGCAGTCTGATGTTTAGTGGCTGTATGTTCAGGAGTTCATGGAGCTCCTGTATTGTCTGATCATATGGTGGACGGTGTTTTGCTGCTCTCCTTAGCGCCTTATTTTGCACTGCTTGCAGTTTCTGCATGTTAATTTTCTTGAAGATTTCTTGACCGGCAGCCAGTGCATATATTCGTGTTAAGCTTATATCAAGGTCTTTCCCCCTCTCCAAGATGGAACTTCAGACCCTCTCCAAGATGCAACCCCACAGCAAGCTGACTAACTTTACTGCTATGTGAACATTAAGGGCATTAGGTGACAGAAAACGCGCCCAACCATCTCTGTCTTGCCCGGGATTGGAATCCGAAATTCCTTTTTTTATTAACAAGTTTAGGTATACACATCAATGTGCTGCTACCCTATTCTATATGAAATACTATACAGTTTAGATAAAAAAAACTAGCTATAAGTTCATCTAATATTCCCACATCACAGGAAGGTTAGTCATACATGGAATCAGGGGAGAGAAAATACCTGTCTCAATACAAAAACAAATCAACTCGGACTAAAAATCAGGAGAGAACATGAAATGCAAGACTGATTGATCTATTAGTCTCCATTAGCAAAATCTGGATACAGCACAAAAATATCTTCCAATATTCCTGAGTATATGAAGTAATTACAGAGCTCAAAGTACCTTCCCGACTGCGAGTCAAGAACGAACCCGACAATACTACCAGAACCAAATTTTAGTCGATATGGCATGAGATATTTTCAATTTTGTAATTCATTCATTCACGGCAGTTGAAACATATTCTCATACCCATCTCCAAAGTTTGCTAGTGGAGGCTAATAAGTAAACTCACAGCTATCTCTGGACCTTTACGCTGCAGACTTTCATAAAGAACAAGCTAAGTACACAAATGGGCAGCTGGGCTTGAAAATGTGACAATCGTCAAAGGGGGAGAGATATATCCTCATTTCCCAGCTAGTATAACTATATATATTCAGTGTACAAGAAATGATTGTATTTCATGTTAAAAAACGATGAATATTGATACAAAACTATTGTTAATTTTATTAACTATATATAGCCTAATTTCATACAGGGCTTCGCTATGAAAATACATTTTTATACTGATTTAGAGTGTGAGCATTAAATATAAATATTTCCATAGTGCTTTATATAGCAGAATAAAAACTATGCAACAATATATCTCTAATAACATAACAAAAAATATATTCTTCTGACAATTTCGCGATATGGAATAAAATACGAGGAGCAATGTAAATTAACAAATAATTGAATATCAATAGAAAATATGACATATAAACAGCCAATTAAACCATAACAGAAATTAGGATATTATTTACTAAAGAATATGATACGAAGACAAAATACTAACAATATATATATATATAGATATATATATAGGGAGGAGAGCGGGGAGGTTCCAGCAGTATGGCGGCGCCCACCAGCCGGACCTCCTCCCAGGCCGGGTACTTCGACCTCACCTGACTTACTTCCTGAGCTTGAAGGGCGCCAAGCTCACCTCCCTCACACACCAGCGATACTCTGCCACCTGACAGACGTAACCAAGAAGCTCTCGTGTCTCTTCTGAGAGTAAGCACGGACTGTCTTTTCAGGTGTTTAATTTTTTTTAATATATATATTTTCGTTTCCAGGAATAATTTGTGTGGGAAGGTGGTCATTTTGACCCTCCAGGCGTATTCTTGTCCAACTCCTCTCTCCTCTTTCTCACAGGATAAATATTTGATTGCCTGGCTTCAATATTATCCCCTCGGCTCACGCCGGGTGTGTAAGTGTGCATCAGGCAGTAGTTATGGGCCCAAGGTTCATCCATTAATGGTACCGTTATTTTATATTTATTTTCGGAAATTCATTCATTTCAACTTTGTATATATTTTAAACATATTTTGACATATTTATCCAAAGTTTGGCAATGTAAACCAACTCGGCCATGTAAAATAACTTTTGGCCATGGAAACCAATTTTTAGCCATGCTAACCGACGTTTATCCAAGTGTACCAACTGTTTAGGTAAGTAAACTAGATTTTGGCCCCATAAATCCATTTTTGGTCATTTAATCCAGCTTTTGATCGAATAATCCAGCTTTTGGTCATGTAATCTAGCTTTTGGTCGTGTAATCCAGCTTTTGGTCATGTAGACCAGCTTTTGGTCATGTAATCCAGCTTTTGGTCATGTAATCCAGCTTTTGGTCATGTAATCCGGCTTTTGGTCATATAATCCAGCTTCTGGTCATGTAAACCAGCTTTTGGTCATGTAATCCAGCTTTTGGTCATGTAATCTAGCTTTTGGTCGCGTAATCCAGCTTTTGGTCATGTAATCCAGCTTTTGGCCATATAATCCAGCTTTTGGTCATGTAATACAGCTTTTGGTCGTGTAATCCAGCTTTTGGTCATGTAATCCAGCTTTTGTCATGTAATCCAGCTTTTGGTCATGTAGACCAGCTTTTGGTCGTGTAATCCAGCTTTTGGCCATGTAATCCAGCTTTTGGTCATGTAATCCAGCTTTTGGTCGTGTAATCCAGCTTTTGGACATGTAATCCAGCTTTTGGCCATGTAATCCAGCTTTTGGTCATGTAATCCAGCTTTTGGTCGTGTAATCCAGCTTTTGGCCATGTAATCCAGCTTTTGGTCATGTAATCCAGCTTTTGGTCATGTAGACCAGCTTTTGGTCGTGTAATCCAGCTTTTGGCCATGCAATCCAGCTTTTGGTCATGTAATCCAGCTTTTGGTCGTGTAATCCAGCTTTTGGCCATGTAATCCAGCTTTTGGTCATGTAATCCAGCTTTTGGTCGTGTAATCCAGCTTTTGGACATGTAATCCAGCTTTTGGCCATGTAATCCAGCTTTTGGTCATGTAATCCAGCTTTTGGTCGTGTAATCCAGCTTTTGGCCATGTAATCCAGCTTTTGGTCATGTAATCCAGCTTTTGGTCATGTAAATCAGCTTTGACCAAATAAACCAACCTTGGCCAAATAAACAATCTTGATCTTATAAACCGATTTTTAGCTAAGTAAACCAGCTTTAGGGTGCAAGATTAACCAACTTTTTGCTATTTAAAGCAACGTTTACTAAAGCATACTAACTTTTGGTCAAGTAAACCAAAGTTTATACATATAAACTAACTTTTGTCCAAGTAGACCAACTTTGCCAAGCCAATAGTTTGACATGTAAAACAATTTTTTGCCATGTAAACCAACATTTTGTCAAGTAAACCAATTTTAGGCCAGTTCACCAACTTTTGGTCATGAAACCAACATTTGGTCAAATGGAGGGACCTTTGACAAGCCGCCGGCTTCATGTCCTTGTCGAGGCCACTAGAGAGATACTGACCTAAAGGTAAATTCGGATAAAAACAAATTTGGCCAGGGAAGTGAACTTGTGGCCAAACAAACAAACGTGGCCATGTAAACAAACTTTTGGCCAAATAAATAAACTTTAGGCTAGTAGAGAGATTTTTTGCATTATAAACAAATTTTTGGCCAAGTGTATCAAATTTTGGCCAATTTAAACCATTTTTGGGCCAAGTGAATACGTTTTTGGTCATATAAACCGACATAATGAATTCCTAACAAATTTTTTGTCCACTTTATACTCCCATAACTATATATTTATTTTTGTCCACTTTATACAACCCATAAGCCACCTTTTGGCTAACATACATTTCTTTCTTTCTTTGCTCGACGGGTAAACGGTTCCATAGGTTTATAACCCCTATGGGTGAAAAGGCATCACGTGTTTTCCGTTTTAAAGAAGTGATCTAAATTAATATATCCTTCAATTTGTTCGGTATTTTATAAGTTTCTATGAGGTCCGCCCTCTCATGTTTGGTTTGAAGTGCTGTTACTTCTGAAGCCCTCAACCTTTCCTGGTAAGAGAGTCGACTTTGTTCTGGGAGGATTTTTGTCGATCTCTATTGTACTTTCTGTAAAGCAGATATATCTTTCTGAAGATGAGGTCTCCATGATTGAATATAGTAGTCCAAATGCGGTGCACACTCAAGTCAAAGATTCGTTTTACTATTACCAGTGTTTGGTTAGTTTTACTGCAGCTCCCACTTGTTGTGCAACTTTCAATGACAGGTGGATTCTGACTCCCAGGTACTTCTTCAATATGCCGTCTGGTAGTGTTGTTGATGTGATGATAGTTGTGATGTGCATTGTTATACCCTACATGTAAGGTAAAATCTTTTGACTGAATAGCTGGTTCCATCTCCCAAAAAAAGTGAGCAGGTTAGTAAGGCAGGATATATTTTTAACAAAACCATTTTGCGCTGATTTTACTAGATTGTGCACTCTGAGTTGGTAAATGATTCCCTTTCAGGATTCTCTTCATGAGTTTACAGATATATGAGATTAGATTCCCTTTCAGGATTCTCTTCATGAGTTTACAGATATATGAGATTAGGCTGATCGGTCTGTAGTTTGTAGTGCGCTCGTTCTGTATTTTTTGTTAACATTTTCATTTTCCTAATCTAGGGGAAACTATCCATTGGTCCATAAATGTTTTTAATAGGAGTTTCAGTGGGAGACACAGTTCAGATGGCAATTCCTTTATAATGTTGGATTGATATCCATCAACACCTAAGGATTTTGATTACTTTGTCATTGCTGCCTGATTTTTTCGGACATTTATGTGAATATCCCTTAATTCATTCTCATTCCCCTGCTTCAAACATCTGTGTGACTATTGGGATATTGTCTACTGTTTCTAGTGTGAATACTGACGTCAAGCGTGTTAGGCTGACTTTTTATAATTAATTATAACTTAGTTTGTCTTATCTTTTATGGGTTCTGCAGAGTGTTTTCTGTTTCACTACTTATTTAGGCATAAAATTACTTTGGGTGTTTCATTATGTTTTTCAACACGCTTTCTTTCGTAGTTGCTTTTGACTGATCTGATTTCCTGAGTAGCAGTATTTAATGTCCATCTGTATATCTCATAATCTATGCCACTCCTTGTGGATTGCTGCTCTTTCAGTGGTTTCACTTTGTTGTTACAGCTCTTTTCTACTGCCTTGTCATCCCTCTAGTTCTTTCACGTTTCTTTCTACTTCTCGGTACATATTTCTAAATAGGTTTAGTGATGACCTTTTTTTTTAATTTTCCCATGATGCTAACATGTTTTTATCTCTTATTAACCCCCTCCAAGATGTATTTCAATTTCATGTTTCATTCATGATAGATGCATTGCCTTGGACCTTTGTGTGATTGTTTATAACTGGGTTCCATCTTAAAATATTGTGGTCATATGAAAGGAGGAGCCTCTCCCCTACCCAAATTTGATCAGTCATACCCTCTCTGTTGCTAGCACAAGATCTAGAATGCTATTACCTCGAGTGGGCTCTGTCACAAGCTGTATGAGAAAGGAGTCTTATAACAGGTCAAGAAAGTGATCTTTCTCTGCTTGTGACGTTAGATTCACCCAGTCTGCTGTCTCGTGATTTATCACATTATGTCAGTGTGCTACCATTTTGAGGAAGAATATTGCACCATACATATTTTGAGGATCCTATGTTGTTTAATTCCTCATTGCTGGCTGCAGTCAGGTCCTCTTGTAAATACACCAGTATCACACTACCGTAAACAAAAAATTAATATAATAACAGATATACAAAGAAAGAATTTGAATTCGCGTAATCAATATATACAATATAAAGTGATAATAAAATGAAATACAGTATATTGATATAGGTTTTATTTATTATTTATTTATTTATTTATTTATTTATTTATTTATTTATTTATTTATTTATTTATATACAAGAAGGTACATTGGGTTAGAGAGAATACATAGCATAGTATTTACAATCTTGTAAAGCCAAATATGTCAGTTGCTTAATTTAGAACCTGTGCTTGTTCGTCACATCAACCCATTGTTGATGTGACGACTTATATTGAATTTTGTAACTAGCTCATCAAGATTGTAACTTGCTTAGCTAAATGAATTGTGGGGTTCAGTCCCTGAGCCCATTATGTGCCTCTGTAACCCTTTCCACTACTGCCCACAAGATGGGTATGGGGTGCATAATAAATGAACTAAACTAAAAAAACTTGTAAAGCCACTAGTACGCGCAGCGTTTCGGGCAGTTGTATTTGTAGACAGTAGAATGCTAGGCAAGTTAGTAGCACAAGGTTGGATACTATGGTGATGAAATTGTTCTACTTTTCAATAAAGCATAGGTTGAACATTTAACATATTAACAAACTTCATGACTAGCTGACCCCATACGACCTCACGTACATCCCGTGTACGTGAGGTCGTAAACACGTAAGATGTACTACACATGCACAGATAACTAATTGATGATTTGTTTGTCACTTGATGGTTGTCACAGTGGCCAGAGCGGTTGCTGCTGGTTCCTACAGTGGAGTGTTCGTCGTGTTCTGCTGGAGTTTACTGCTGCTCTCTGGACACTGCACCTTCTTTGACACCTGTGTAGGTAACTTTGGCACCTCTATATTTATACTTGATAATATGTAGGTAACGGTACCACCCTGTGTAGGTAAATTTGGCACCTGTATAATTTATCCTTGATAATATGCAAGTAACGTTACCACCTGTGTAGGTAACTTTAACACCTGTGTGTGGGTAACTTGACACTTGTGTAGGTAAATTTAACACCTGTGTAAGTAACTTAGACACCAGTGTAGGTAACTTTAACACCTGTGTAACTGACTTTGACACCTGTGTAGGTACCTTTGACACCTGTGTAGGTAACTGACACATGGGCATGTAACTTTGACACCTGTGTAGGTAACTTTCACATCTGTGTAGGTAACTGACACCTGGGTAGATAACAAACACCTGTGTAGGTAACATTAACATCTGTGCAGGTAACTTTAACACGTGTAGGTAACTTTGACACCTGTTTAGGTAACTGATGTTACCTACACAGGTGTCAAAGACATGTTACCTACATGTAGACATGGTACCTACAGCTGTGGAGGTAACTTTTGATACATGTGCAGGTAACTTTGACACCTGTGTAAGAAACTTTAACACATGTATAGATAACTTTGATACATGGGGTAGTAACTTTGACACCTTTGTGGGTAACTTTGGCACCTGTGCAGGCATCTTTGACACATGTGAAAGTAACTTTGGCACATGTGTAGATAACCTTGTCACTTGTGTAGTAATTTAATACCTGCATAGAAACTTTGACACCTGTATATTTATCTTTGACACGTGTATGTGACTTTGGCAGGTGTTGGCATTTGGCACTTGTGCAAGTAGTCCTATTTTAATAAAAATATTTATTTATATATTTATATGCTGTATGTACATGAAGGTACTTGTGCAAGTAGCCTTGTTTTAATAAAATATTTATTTATTTATTTATTTTTTTATATATTTATATATATACAAGAAGGTACATTGGGTTTATGTGAGAGCATAACATTGATGTTTTTACATTCTTGTAAAGCCATTAACACATAGCGTTTCAGGCAGGTCCTTAATTTAACAGATAATTTTAAGTAGGTAATTTCTAGCAAAATTGAGAAATATTAACTGGTATATTGTAAGAAAATGTGACGAAGATTAGTAGGTACATTATAGTAAAAATTGAGGATTATCAACAGGTACATTGTAGCATAATTTGAGGATTATTTCTAGGTATAAAGTAGTCAAATATGTGTTCAATATAGCAACCATGATATAACATGATAGCAATGATTACAATGGGGAAGTTGTATGACTTTGTATGACTTGGGCACATCAATTTGGGGAGTGGGTAGCACAAGATACAGTGCGAGCTTGAAGCACTAGGTAGGAAACTATGAGGATGAAATTAAGTACTTTTTGGTTATATTTTTGAATAAGGCGCAGGTTGGACAGCTTTTCAATTCGTTAGGGAGTGAGTTCCATAGATTAAGTCCCTTTATTTGCATAGAGTATTTACACAGATTTAGTTTGACTCTGGGGATATCAAAGAGGTATTTATTTCTGGTGTGGTGATTATGTGTTCTATTACATCTGTCCAAGAAGAGTTTCAGATCAGGATTTGTATTTAAGAACAGGGGTTTTGTATATGAAAATGACAGAAGAGAATGTGTGGAGTGAGTTTATTTTAGCTTGTTTAGGGATTTAAACAGGGGAAAGGGGGGGGGGCTGAGTGTAGCCTGAAAGCCGAGTGTATTATTGTGCTGATAGCAGATTTTTGCTAAGGTGATGATGGGCTTGAGGTGGTGTGCAGTGGTTGAACCCCCATGCACAGATACCATATGTAAGATAGGGATAGATTAGTGCATAGTATAGTGAAAAGAGAGCAGAGTTTGGAACATAATATCTGATTTTAGAGAATATATGAACTGTTTTTGAGACTTTCTTGGTTATGTGTTGTATGTGGGTGCTGAAGTTGAGTCTCTTGTCTAAGTATAAGCCAAGGAACTTTCCATTACTTTTATTGTTGATGTTTAGTGTGAGTTTGTTGGTTGACATCCATAAGTGAACTTTTTAAATTCGTTATTTACACCATTATTTAGTGTGTGTATGTGGGGGGGGGGGGTAGATGTAGGGTAGTAGTAGTAGGCATCCTCAACTCTGACCCCCAACCGTCTGACTCAGACGTCAGCAAATAATATAGGTTTAATAATGTTAGACATTAGGCTAATATAATAATATATATATGCGAATAGGCGCCTATATAATAATATATATATGCGAATAGGCGCCTATATAATAATATATATATGCGAATAGGCGCCTATATAATAATATATATATGCGAATAGGCGCCTATATAATAATATATATATGCGCCTATATAATAATATATATATGCGCCTATAATAAATATAGGCGAATAATAATAATAATAATGTTTATTCAGGTAAGAGTACATACATACAAAATTAGTTACAAACATAACGTTGGATATCTAGATAGATCTAGTACATACTATGTCTAAAGCCACTTATACGCACAAAATACTGAGTCTAGGCTACTGCAAAAACATTGTGCCGTAGCCTAGTAAGCCTTAAACAAGATACGTATTTTAATGTAGCTTTACCTTGTTTAGTCAACTGTTGTATAAATACTTATATATGAATATAAAGTCAAAATATCCCTCATTTACATTCAGAGTGCGTATCATTATTTTGTACAATAAAAATACAGTATATTAAAATACTAGTATTTAATAGGTTGATAGGCCTTAAACCCCACACTAATACCATTTGCTTCTAATTCTTTAAATTTTAAAGCCTGTTCATATTTCCTGTGCAAAATAAATGGGTCTTTCGCTGAATGCTACAACATCGTGAGTGAAATTTGCAATGATATATTTTTCCGAAAGCATTACAAAAAACGCAGCATCTCTTATGTATGGTAATTTTTACAAAATTCCTCACTAAAATCAAATTTAAAATTGCTGATTTACCTACTTATTGTATACTGTATAGTGTATTTTAGCAGAATGCGATACCAACACTTGTGTAATTGCCTGTATTTACATGGACCAACCTTTTATGATTGGTTATGTAGGTTCTCAGAATATGTTTTAATCACTGGTCTCATAACAGCTGCTTCTGTGGCCTTGTGTACATAAATGGGCCTTAAAAATTGAAATTTCCCAGAGGTAAAGAGATGAGCGACTTACTAGGCTGTACACCAGTGTTCACTTGTAACCTACCTGGCCACTCTGAAACTCTCCCTGGACAGATGTATTAGGACCCATTATCACCACACCAGAAATAAATATCTCTTTGATATCCCCAAAGTCAAACTTAATCTGTGTAAACACTCTATGCAAATAAAGGGACCCAGTCTATGGAACTCACTCCCTAATGAATTGAAAAGCTGTCCAACTTTTGCGTCATTCAAAAACAAAACTAAATAGTACCTAATTTCATCTTCATAGTTTTTTTACCTTGTTACTTAAGAATTGCACTGTATCTATTGCTACCCAATCTCCCAATCTTTATGTACCCAATCCGAACATCTTTACCATTGTGATAATTGCTGTCTTCTTATATGTGCTATCAATCTGCTGTATGGTGCCTATTAATCTTGTTTAAATTACCAATCAAGCTGTCAATGTAATCAATCAGAGCTTTAATATACCAATGTGCTTTACTATACTTACTAATCTCTCTCATCTCATTTTTTTCTCGCAATGTATCTGTTATCATTTTATTAATTTTGCTAGAATTTACCTACTTAAAATTATCTGTTAGATTAAGGACCTGCCCGAAACGCTGCGCGTACTAGTGGCTTTACAAGATTGTAAATACTATGCTATGTATTCTCTCAAACCCAATGTACCTTTTTGTATATAAATAAATAAATAAATAAATTTACAATCTTATACAGCCACTAGCACGCGTAGCGTTTCGGGCAGAAGTAGGTATTTCTGATCTTTATTCTTATTTTTATACTAGGTTATACTAGGTACGACATATATATATATATATATATTCGGTGCCAACAACTACTCCTAAAAGAGGTTTATGCCGAGTATGCAACAAAAACACCGCCATAAACTAAGTACTTAGTTTTATATGTTACTCGGTCTTACTATTAAAAAAAAAAATGCTGTTTGTTGACCAACTTGTATATTGGCTATTTTCTACCATGTTCCCCCCTTTTTTTTATCTTTTATTATTTTTTTTTTCATTCAACACAATTTATACTTTATGCTCAATTACTATTAATTAACTGTTTTTTTTCCCCACCTCTCCTTGCCCGAAACGCTATGCATACTAGTGGCTTTAGGTATTGTATGTACTACCTCTATCTTTAAATCTAACAGAATGTTTGTACTGTAACTCTGCAACTATGTATGTACTGTTCCTAATTAAATTATTATTATTATTATTATTATTTAAGAGTCGTATTACGATAATATGCAATAAATGAAAACTGGTTCGATTTCAATCAAACTTTTTTGACTAATTGTATATGAAATTGGGTTCAACTGGTCCAAGTCTCAGCATCGTAGCATAAATAGGAAGGGAGAAAAAAATATTGAATTATGTGTCAAAAATTAACATAAAACACAAGTGTCAACTGAAATCATGTCTGTCTCTAAGGTGTCACAATAGCATATAATAAAATATTTTAATATTCAGTTTTATGCAAAAAAAAAATAGATTTTTGTTCTCGATTTTTTTCTCATATTTTTATCAGGCGATTTGCATGAAACTTATACACCTTACAGAACCTAAGCCTATCTGTAAGGGTGCAATTTTTGGAGGAAATTGGTTAAAGTCATCTTCAACCACAGGTGGCAGAATCTTTGACTTAATTTATTGTCAAGTAACATAAAATTGACATTCCTCTTTCATTTTTGTTTCAATTTACATGATATTTACACTTTATATGTAGAGTGAACGTCTCAACAATCTATAAAACACTTTATTCCTAAGTTCATTTATTGATTTTATAAATATATGCAAACATGATATATTGGCATAAATTTTGGGGGAACGTTTAACTATTTGAATTAGTAAAACTAAACATTTTGAATAATCCCCCTTATACAAATCCTTTAATATATGCTAATGTGATAGATGAGTGTCATAGAAATTATTTCATTTGAAACTTGTGGTTGTAATAAATTATTTAAAATGTGTAAAATAAGTTGAAAAACAAAACATAAAAATCTTCCCTTTCAATTTAGTGTGCGATACTGAAACGTAGAACAGTTGCAGCCCTTTCTATATACAACTAGTAAAACAAGTTTGATTTAAATTGAACAACTTTTAATTTACTATAATACGGGTCCTTTAAATATTTTAGTTTGTGTTGGTAAGGAAATATGCGTGCTTAAGGTGCACCCACCTCTCCCCTTGCCTTGTGGTTGGGGGGAACGGGTGCTCTGTAGCTATTTAAAAACCATACACCCCCCGAAGTATGTACGGGCTCACTGTAGCCCGTGCTACATGGACATTTCGTTCTGAGTAGCTAAATCTAAAACAACAACAACAACAACCCCGAAGTGGCAATGGGAGGAAGGGAACAAAATAATCTATCCCCTTGGCCTTTCTCCTACCACCATAATAAACGGTGGGAAACGGCTTTGGCTAGGATACATGTTGACCATACACACTTAACTCACGAGCACTTAATGGAACGCCACCCTGCTCCTTATTGCCCGAATTACATTATCCCACGTACCAGACCCCTGGATGGGGTCTGAGAGTTCTACTCCCCAAGCCCGGCCCGGGGCCATCTTGAGCTAGGTTATCTTGAGATGATTTCGGGGCTTAGCGTCCCTGCGGCCCGGACCTCGACCAGGCCTCTTTTTTTTTTTTTGTTACACACCCCCTGGAAGCAGCCCATAGCAGCTATCTAACTCCCAGATACCTATTTACTGCTAGGTAACAGGGGCATCAGGGTGAAAGAAACTGCCCATTTGTTTCCGCCTCCACCGGAGATCGAACCCGGAACCTCAGACTACGAAACCGAAGCGCTGTCCACTCAGCTGTCAGGCTGTCTGTCAATTTTGAGTTGTGGGAGCTTGGCCCAACAGACAGTTGCTTGGAGCAGCCAACAGGCCCACACAACCCGGTTGGTCCGGCATTCCTTGAAGAAAGCTATCCAGTTTTCTCATGAAGACGTCCACGTTTGTTCCGGCAATATTTCTTATGCTTTCTGGGAAGATGTTGAACAACCGTGGACATTTGCATGTGCATCTCCTTGTAGAATGTCCCGATTTTCAGGACGATCATATGGTGTTGCACTCCGAATATCCCCCGAAGTAATTTGTCACACGAAGGTGAATCCAATACCTGTACCTTTGATATTGCTCACATAATGTGTTTTTGTTGTGGTATTGTTAAACATGCAGCGACACAGGTGCTTCATAGTTTTGCTGGCCTGGTCTTATCATCTTTTGATGTAGTAATCATCTTTTGATGATTACTTTCATGAATATCAACCAATTGTTTGTCTGTACTCTCTTTTCAGAGCAGAGACGCTGACAAGGATGGACAAACGCTGAAGCTCAATAAGGTATGTTGGGAAGCTTTCAGAATATTGTAGAGGGTGTAAAACATATTAAGCTATGATCTTTACCAACTTTGCCGAATTGTATCATTTGCACACTTACTATGTTGCTTTGTCACTTATTATGTAATAATTTAATTTTGTATGAACAGACATAATTTAAGATTACGTATGTTGAGTTATACAAACTATACAAACATTGAGTGTGTATAGTTTTGTTTTTTTCCCCACGAAATAATACATTTGCCTAAACATGAAGGTGATTGACGTTTGTTTTCCTCGGATCCCTCTTAATTTCTGCACTTAAAGATTCAAAGTCTAATATCATATTAATATATTCTATAAACAAGGCGAACAAGCCTGAATGGTCCCCAGGCATATATGCAACTGAAAACTCACACCCCAGAAGTGACTCGAACCCATACTGCCAGGAACACTATGCAACTGGTGTACAGGACACCTTAACCACTCGACCATCAATCACCAAAGAATGAGGTGATTTGATAAAATACTATGCCCAAGATTACCATCAGAGTGCCGGCGGGATGACGGGGAAATAGCCTCGGCTACCATCATCTTTTGTCCGGTCGTGATAGTCGAATGGTTAAGGTGTCATGTACACCAGTTCCTATTGAAGATGAATAAATATACGAAAGTGCTTAAGGAAATTCCTGTATCAATTCTTCCTCCGTGGTCTGATCCTGTCATATATATATATATATATATATATATATATATATATATATATATATATATATATATATATATATATATATATATATATATATATATATATATATATATATATATGTCGTACCTAGTAGCCAGAACGCACTTTTTGGCCTACTATGCAAGGCCCGGTTTGCCTAATAAGCCAAGTTTTCCTGAATTAATATATTTTCTCTAATTTTTTTCTCATGAAATGATAAAGCTTCCCATTTCATTATGTATGAGGTCAATGTTTTTTATTGGAGTTAAAATTAACGTAGATATATGACCGAACCTAACCAATCCTACCTAACCTAACCTAACCTATATTTATAGGTTAGGTTAGGTTAGGTTAGGTAGCCGAAAAAGTTAGGTTAGGTTAGGTAGTCGAAAAACAATTAATTCATGAAAACTTGGCTTATTAGGCAAATCGGGCCTTGCATAGTAGGCTGAGAAGTGCGTTCTGGCTACTAGGTACGACATATATATATATATATATATATATATATATATATATATATATATATATATATATATATATATATATATATATAATATATATATATATATATACAGTATATATATATATAATTTAGATATAAAGCTGAAGTTATTATGCATACCACTTGACTGTTAGGTAACTTTTAACAAAATCTTGGGTACATTTACTGTTATAGGTTGCGAATGGGTATGGGCAGCGGTCCCTGGCCTACAAGATGCTCGGCGGGTGTCGGGACAAGGGGGTGGTCTACATACCCGGCTTCATGGGATCCATGTCAGAGGAGAAGGCAACCTTCTTAAATAACTTTTGTAACTTGCACGACGTGTCATTTCTAAGGTGAGATCTGCTGCATTTGTTTATATGCCTGTTGTACACGTGGGTTTATCCAGCAGTCACTGACCAGGGCTTATTGCGCTTGAGACGGAAGGCTTCACACTATTCAGATCCTCAAAATTGTTTATGTTGTACACATGTGCAACAGCTTGTTATATATATATATATATATATATATATATATATATATATATATATATATATATATATATATATATATATATATATATATATATATATATACTGCCTGAAATTTTTTTTTTTTTTCAAAGCGGAGCAACTGCCTGAAATTGAAATTGAAATAAGTTTATTGATTTAAAATACACACAAAGGGATGAGTTTTGATGGTTGGGAGTATTTTCTTCTTGATTTGCTCCTTAATCTGTGAAAAACTTGGAGGTATTTTAACCTGTACAACAGGTAGAGCAGTGGCAGCTTCTGCTAGTGAGTCTGCCTTTTCATTACCATCTATGCCAATGTGACTTGGTATCCAATTTAGGGTGATTGACAGCCCTAGATTGTGTACTTCTTTTCCTATATGTAGGATTTCTGTGATGAGTTGTATATTATCTCTGTGCTCGCTGGATAACAATGCCTGGAGCGAAGATTTAGTCTGTATGAATGATGACATCTTGTAAATTATTCTCAATTGTTAAATTTATGGCCTCCTTCAGGGCATATCATTCGGTTTGCAATGTTGAACATCCACTATTCATGCTCCAGTAAGCTTCATGGTTGTGTAAACTGCTGCCCCAGCAGAACCTCTTTCTTGATCAACTGATCCATCTGTGAAGATGTGAGTGGTTGTAGGTCTTGAGATAGTTTCCATTTGTTGGTCTATAACTGCTTTGAGCCTCTGCGAGTCACATGCTGATTTTTTAACTGGTAATCCTTCAATGATTATCTTTAGACTCGATTCTTCCCACGGAGGAGGCTGCCGAAAGTGTTGATATGGTCTATTTCAAGTCAACTTTCTCTAGAATCTTGACCAGATTATCCGTCCATGCACTTGTTGTACATTGAAGGTTTCTGTGAAGCGATCTGTGTATGCTATCTATGATTGACAGTATGGCGGTGGTTCCAGCAAGTTTTGCTGTTATGGTGGCTATTCTTTGTTTGATCCTGTTTTCTAAGGCTGGTAAGTTGGTTTCCATTCTTAGATTCTTTCGACGCGTCCATATAGGTGCTCCCAGCATTGTTCTGAGGGCATCATTTTGAGACACTTCCAGTTTCTCCCATTTGTTATCACTGAGGGTTGTAAGAGCAGGAGCAGCACAGTCAATGAGTAGCCTAACTACTTGGATGAGTACTAACTACATTTTGAGTACTAGTAGAGATGGGTGTGGTGCTCATGGGTTCTGTTACAACCTTCAATGAAGCACACACATAACATGTATGACCCCCTCATGCTTGGTGTATACATGTATGACCCCTCATGCTTGGTGTAACATGTATGACCCCTCATGCTTGGTGTAACATGTATGACCCTCATGCTTGGTGTAACATGTATGACCCCTCATGCTTGGTGTAACATGTATGACCCCTCATGCTTGGTGTAACATGTATGACCCCTCATGCTTGGTGTAACCTGTATGACCCCTCATGGTTGGTGTACCATGTATGACCCCTCATGCTTTGGTGTAACATGCTTGGGAAGGTGACCCCTCATGCTTGGTGTAACATGTATGACCCCTCATGTTTGGTGTAACATGTATGACCCCTCATGTTTGGTGTAACATGTATGACCCCTCATGCTTGGTGTAACATGTATGACCCCTCATGTTTGGTGTAACATGTATGACCCCTCATGCTTGGTGTAACATGTATGACCCCTCATGCTTGGTGTAACACGTATGACCCCTCATGCTTGGTGTAACACGTATGACCCCTCATGCTTGGTGTAACATGTATGACCCCTCATGCTTGGTGTAACATGTATGACCCCTCATGCTTGGTGTAACATGTATGACCCCTCATGCTTGGTGTAACATGTATGACCCCTCATGCTTGGTGTAACATGTATGACCCCTCATGCTTGGTGTGTATGACCCCTCATGCTTGGTGTAACATGTATGACCCCTCATGCTTGGTGTAACATGTATGACCCCTCATGCTTGGTGTAACATGTATGACCCCTTATTCTTGATGTTACAGGTATGACCCCTCGTGGTTGGGAGAGAGCAAAAAAACCAGTAGTTTAAAGCAGATTAAGAAGATTTTTTCAGTTTGGATGGACGATGCTTTTGAGATGTTCAAGCTGACGACTGGCCCACAGATTGTTGTTGGACACTCCATAGGGGGATGGGTAAGTGTCATCTCATTTCCTCTAAAGCATGTGTCACCTCATCAAAATTCAAATTCAAAGTTTATTCCATGTAACTTTAATCTGTAATCAACATAACATTTTTTCTGTAGCTTGGAAGAAAAACCCCTTTGGACTGGGGAAAATTTACTTATACTCTAATTATAAAGTAATTATGAAGTAACTATAATGTACATATAAATATATTAGGATTGGTAATTGTTCAGTTATCGGTAATTAAATTATTGGGTTTGTTAAAAAATAGATTCTGCCTTACAAGCCTGCCCACATTTTTTGGAAACGGTAACCACCTACTGAGAAAAAGGACTTGGGGTGGCTGTAGAAACATGGCGCAGAAACATTGTCACTCCAAACACCTTCCACTTTCAGGGAACTCATGCATCTCTGGCCTGACTTAATGTTAAGCACTCAACCGGTACACATGGATAAAAGCCTTTGATAAAGGTACAACATGAAAGACTGGCACGGAAATTACAGGCACATGGAATAAATGGAAGAATACTAGAATGGATAAAAGAATGGTTAAAACAAAGGGTTGTACTAAATGGGAAGGAATCTGACTGGAGAAATGTGATTAAGTGTGACACTACAAGGGTCCATTTTGGCGCCAACCCTTTTTGTCGTATACCTCAATGACAGATGAGAATATTATAAACCATATCATCAAATTTGTAGATGACACAAAGATTTATGATAAAGTGGGAAGTGAAAATGATATTGAAGCCTTACAAACAGATCTACATGAACTCCGCAAGTGTTTGGAAGGCTAGCAAATGCCTTTTAATATCTACCCAAGCTCCCTTTCCAGCCCGTTGCTGTTGTGAGGGGCTTGGTGGGCGGCTGCCGGAGTGTGATACTCCAAGGGGACAGTCCTATGTTCTTTTGAAGCCTTATGCTTCTGCTGCCGTCTTCACTAATTGTGCTGGATGCCTTTTCCTCTTCCTTATGTTTAATTTTTCCTCCCCACCCTTTTCTCTTTTCTGTTAGTTATTTCCCGCCGACTTTTTGCCATTCTTGATTATTCTTTCAAATGTTTTCTGTTTTGACACCGGACGTTTATATGCCGATATCTGACCCTCTATTAACTTCTCAGATTCATGGGGTGGGCGACCAGGCCCCCCGAGTTGTACTGTGATGAAAGGCCGGGGTCTGTAGCCCCCGCTACATTGGGCCGAGATCAAGCTGCTTCTCTGACTCTCCTGACTACCTCTCTGCTCCCCTCCCACCTCTATGGCAGGGTTAAGCCCCAAGCCCCCAGTGGTGCCCACCTCATCCCCTGGAATGGCTCCATCTCTCATTATAACAATAGGGGGGGGGGGGAACTGCTCCAAAAATGCCTGATTAAATGGCAACATTGGTACAGTTATTCTCCCGCACTATGTTGCGACTGGTGTTAGGGAACTGAAAGACTGCCACGATGATATTAACACATCCTTGAGGCCATTCTATCCTCTAGGTTGATATGTTCACTCGACCCTCTCGTGGTCGTCGTCGTCGTCGTCAGTCTCTTCGCATAGTGAAGATGACTTTTGATAGGTCACTTCCGTCTTCGATAATTCTTGCTGGTGCCAGATGCTCCGTTCTTGGGTACATCCCCTCTCCTCGCCTCTGTAATAGGTGCTGGAGATTTGGGCATGGTTCAAGGTAAAATTTCCCATTTCCCGCTAAGCTGAGGGGGGTTCCAGGTAAAATTTTTCATTCCTTGCACTGTCACATCTATTTAAGACTAAAATTATTTCAGAATTCATATAATCATAGAAGTTTATTTAGGAGTTTAAGACCGAAATTTTTCAAAAGACCATTTTCAGAATATTGTCATAGAAGATTTTTTAAGGAAAATAGACATCTTAGCAGTAAGTTTTAGTTTTATATTCATGTACTGCTGTTTCACCCATTTAACAACCGACCATTTTAAGAACGAAATATGACAGACCATTTTAAGACCAAATTTCTTCAGAGTCCAGTTGAAGACCGAAATTTAACAGAGCCCAGTTAAAGAACGAATTTCTTCAGAGAGTAGTTGAAACCCGAATGGCCTAAGCTAAGCATAATTTCTTCAGAGTCCTGTTGAAGACCGAAATTTAACAGAGACCAGTTAAAAACCGAATTTCTTCAGAGTCTAGTTGAAGACCGAAGGACTTCAGCTTTTTAATTCGTTAGGGAGTTCCATAGACTAGTTCCCATTATAGACTAGTTTCTAGAAATTAGTCTATGGCTACACCATAGTCTAGTTTCCCTAGATTCAGAGAAAGTGCACAGAAACCCCAAGGGAGAGAGAGGGTTGCAACAGCAAAGCTCGATGATGAGTGCGCAAAAGGGAGTCAGGAAGGGAGAACACGTGCAATCGGGAGCCACGTAGTGAGCTAAAGGCGCCCACGGGAAACATGCCAAGAGGAAAGGAGGGGAGAGAGAGGGGCACGAGGCAGGCAGGGAGGCCCAGAAACACAACACGTGGGGGGCACTGGCCGGCGTGAGCACACTGGAGAAGAAGGGAGGACAGAGGAGGGGAGCCCAGGGGGGGGGTAAGAAAGGCATGGAGCACAAGGAGCACCTCTCTCTCAGCTTCTCTTCACTTCTGAAGCATGGAGCACTTCTGCGCTGTCTGAGGCGCAGAAGATATGGGAGGGGGGTAAGGGAGGGAGAGGCGGTGGCAGGGAGGCTCATGAAACTAAGGGTACATTGTGGCCGAAACAGCTGAGGGGCGGAAGGAAGGGCAGGGAGGGAAGGCACGAGGAGGGCAGGGAATCACCTAATAGAGGGATGGCACGTAGATCCACCAGGACCCGACGGGGCGATGTGCAGGAGTAAGGGCAGGAGGAAGAACATGTGGTGGGCAGAGGACGGGGGAGATAGGGGCTGGTACAGAAAGAATGTGCCGAGAAGCAAGAGGAAGGGTATGGCACTCAGGTATGCGCAGAGATCGAGGACGGAGGCACACCGAAGCGGGCGACATGGAGGAAGAGAAAGACGCCAAGGGAGGACCAGGGTTGAAGGGGTGAAGGAGAGGATGGACAGGGGACGGGTAAAAGGCTGCAAGAGACCATGGGGACAAACCGGGCATTAAGCACATGTCATGGGCACAAGTGAGGACAATGAGGGAGCACGGGGTCGTCTAAATATTGGGGTGCGGGACGGCGTCAACGAGAGTAACGAGACTGTATCTGAAGTTGGTGTAGGAGATGTCCATGGGAACCCTATGGGTGCCATGGAAAGCCTGTAGTGTCGGCACCACAAGGGCGCTCAAGCTGAGGTCTTCTGGAAGTTGAAACTGGGTGAAGAGGTCCATCGTCATGTGTGTGGAGGATAACCTTGTGGGAGTCCTGACTGTGAGCTGGTGGTGGTGGCGTCGGTGGAGGGAGCAAGTGGCATGGTGAGGAGTTGAGCAGGCGAGAGGTAGTGAAAGTACCACACAGAGTGTGCGGCGGCTGCATACGTAAACGGGTCTCTGTACATTGTATTAACTGTATGTGTCAGTTCTAAATGCTCTTAATTGTATTGTTTATTTGGAACTATTTAAACATGAAACTCATTACTGAAATTGAATTATTAAATAGGTATGAGCATCAGAAATTTAAAGTTTATTACAATTATTTTCAGATCGCCATTCATTTGGCTTTAAAACATCCTGACAGAGTGGCCGGCTTGTTGCTGTTAGGACCTGTTTACAATTTACATGAAAATTGTTTGAATTTTACCGAGGGTAAGAAATTAATGAATAAGGCAGTACTATTGTTGGGTAAAGCTAGAGTTGAGGACATCATGAAGGATGCACAGCAATACCAAATCTCAGTTGCTCCATCTTCGTTAACGATCAACTGTAAAGTGAGCATACTTCATGGCAAGGATGTAAGTATAAAATTAAAATGGTATTACTGCTTGCCGGAAGATTGGATGATGGTACGATAAGTAACATATCCAAAGTTAGGATTAAGAAACAAATTGAACTGTGAAGCAATTACTCTGGTCATTATTATTTTTTTTAGATGACTTGTTTTTAAATTAATCAAGTTAGTACAGGAGCAGATGACTTCTGATTCCTGTTAGGGTTAGAGCTCTCCGTTCCCATAGCTCATGGTCAGTTTACCCGCTAGTTTTCCCTGGAACACGACCTGTCAATCTGTTAATACTCAGGTACCCAATTACTGCTGGGCAAACTGTTCGAATTGAAGTCCAGTCCTTCCTGGCCAGGACTCTGACCTAAACACATCACTCGAGGGGGGTTTAGTTTAGTTCATGTTATGAATCCCATATCCATCCTGTGGATGGTAGTGGAATGTGTATAGAGGCACATAATGGGCTCAGGGACTGAACCTCATAATTCATTTAGCTAAGCAAGTTACAATCTCGATGAGCTAGTTACAAAACTCAATGCACATCGTCACATCAACAATAGGCTCGAGATCGACCACAGGTACAATTTCTAAATTAAGCAACTGACATGTGGAGAGTTAGTGTCACAATTGGTATGTTTATCCTGCACACCGCTCCCCATCCATTAGGCAGCAGTGGGTAGGTTACAATCACTCAGTTAATTATTACCAACAGTTAGCAAACGGGGGATATTTGGCTATAATTTCTGGTAGCAGATAATTTTGAATGAAATATTTACACATCTCTTGAACATTTGTTATAGAATTCAAACTCAGGTAAATTAATTGCCTCTGAATTCACATATCTTTTTGCATTCCATCACATAGTCGGAATTTCACTCTTTCATTCGCTTGCAACATTCATCATCATCATCATCTGGATAGGCTACAGCCGTGCAACACCCCCGTGCAACAATGTTGCAGAGATTGCCATGCACGGTCGTAGTCCCCATTTCTCCTAGAGACTATGTGCCAGGACACAACCCATGTGCCAGGATACAACCCGCGCACCAAGACACAACCCGTGCACCAGGACACAACCCTCGCGCCAAGACACAACCCGCGCCCCAGGGTGGAAACCGCACGGCACCTGTACTTCCGGTCAACCACATGGCATACCTGTTGCCATAGTCTATGAACTCATTGCACATACTTATGATGTAGAACAACTCACCCCCCCCTCCCCCAGGACAGAAACCGAGCACTGGGACCCAACACGCATGCCTAGACTAGAACTGTGCATCACCTGTACTTCTGGTGCACAACCTGTACACCTGCTGTTCCAGATGTGCACCTGTTGCTCAGATGCTTGTGCACGGTTCTAGTACAGGGATGCAACCTGCACCCCCAGAGACTATTGAGGACTAGAACCATGCAACACCTGTACTTCCCGTGCATCACCTGTAAACCTGTTGTACCGGATTTGCACCTGTTGCTCAGGAGCTCGTGCACGGTTCTAGTCCTCAATTTCCCTACTACCATTTGTGCGTGCGTGCGAATAATTTTGTTGACAAAGTTTACATTTGGTCAGGTCTACATCTGCAGATAATGAGAATTCCCAAAGAAACTTGTAACTGAGTCTAAGCCAAGCAGTAATGACATAGAAATGTCTGCTGATTTTATTGAATGATCCATAGTTGTATGGCTCCTCTTGCATGATAGAATGACGACAGATGGAATTACTGGTGTCGATTTCACTTTGCCTCAGATCTGCAAGATTTTCTTGAAGTTCTTGGTGCTCTCAGACTGCTTATTGACAATCTAAGGTTGTACTCAATTCAATCTTATACCCAACCTCAGCCTCCCTAGCAAATCGCCCATGGGTCGTTTGGTGTTCTGTTTTGCTGTGGAAGTCTTGGTTGTAGGGTTGATATAAAGCCATTGCTTGGTTACTGACTTCAATACAATGGAACCTCGAATAACGAATTTAATCCGTTCCGGCACCATGGTCGTCATGTGAAACTGACGTCATTCAAAACGAAGTTCCCATTGAAAATAATGTAAACAGATATAATCCATTCCAGCCCCAAAAACAACAATATGACATTATACACTGGTAATATGATACTGTACATATAAAATAAATGTTTTGTTTGACTGTTCCCATTTTTACATTCACTTCATTCACTTTTACATTCACATTATGAAGAGACGTTGCTGGCTGGAGGGAGACAATCGGGAGGTGGGAAGGAGGAGAGGGGTTACTGCGTGGAGGGAGACTCCACCTGTGGGTCAGGCGGGCTCTCTCTCTTGGGGAATTTAACCCCACTGGGACCGGGTTGTGGTTCACTATCACTTGCACGTCTTTTATCACCCTTTCCACAGACCGTATTGAGTGCCACTTGGTGTTGTCTACATTTTAGCATGTCCCTAAGCTGAGACAGCACATTGTCGTTAAACATGTTCACACAACGTGGTGTCACTGCCTTATCAGAGTAATGTTTTTCCGCGAATGTGGTCACCTTTTCGAACATTCCCAACACGTCCCTGATTTCACTGGACGGGACAGCATCCTCCCATACCTCCTCCTTCCCCGATGAGAGCTCCCTTACCTCCTGTTGCACCAGCTCTTTCTGCAGTTCCAGGAAATCCTCAGTGGTCAGTTCATCACTGTGCTCCTCCATTAATTCCTGCACATCAGCGGCATCCACCTCTGCATCCAATGTTTGCCCCAGAGCAACAATATCATCCACTAAAAGCGCATCTGGGTCATCCACAGTTGAGGATGCAGGTGCAGGACCGAAACCTTCGAAGCCTCGCTCAGGGACACCCTCCGGCCACAGGTTTCGCCATGCAGAGTGTAGGTCCTCCGTGACACTCCTTAACAGGCCTTATCAATCAAACGCAAGGCCCCCATGATATTGAAGTGATCCTTCCAGAATTGTTTGATGGTCAGTTCTGTGGTGTCTATCACATAAACATACCTCTCCAACAAAGCCTTCACGTACAGCTTCTTAATGTTAGCAATGACTTGCTGGTCCTTGGGCTGGAGGAGTGAGTGGTGTTTGGAGGAAGAAACTTGATGGTGGTGAACTGATTTTCCGGGAACAGATCACCTTGATCATCTTATCCATTCACTGAAGAAGATCCGCGTGACCCAGGACTTCTTGTTGGACCTCCACATCACATTCAGCCGTGTCTTGTGCACCTTACACGCCTTGAACACTCGTGGATTTTCAGAGTGGTAGACGAGCAGTGGCTTTACCTTGCAATCGCCACTTGCATTGGCGCAGAGCACGAGGGGTGAGCCGATCCTTCATCGGTTTGTGGCCAGGGAATGATTGTTTCTCTTGTGTGATGTAGGTGCTCTTCGTCAATTTTTTCCAAAACAGCCCAGTTTCGTCACAATTGAAAACCTGTTGGGGCAGGAACTTCTCCCAATCAACAAATTCCTGGAACTGTGGCACAAAAATCTTGGCAGTAGCTTTATCAGAGCTGGCAGCCTCTCCATGTCGCACAACATTGTGTATACCGCTCCTCTCCCTAAAGTTCTCGAACCATCCACGGCTTGCCTTAAATAACTCCTCATCTTCAGACGACGCACCTGGTATCTTCCTAACAAGGTCCACATACAGCACCCTTGCCTTAGCACAAATGAAAGCTTCAGAGACACTATCGCCATATAATTGACGTTCATTCATCCAGACCAACAGTAGCCTTTCAACATCATCTAGGAGTTTTGGACGTTTCTTGGTAACCTTGGTAACTCCTTTGGCCACGTCAAGTGTCTTAAATTTTTCCTTCCTCTTCAAAATGGTGCTAATTGTTGAGGAAGACCTGTCATACTCCCTGGTGAGATCAGCCACACGAACCTCACGCTTGTGCTTTGCTATGATTTTCTTCTTCATGTCCACAGTGATTGGCTCTTTCTTTTCCTTCTTGAGGTTATCTTGAGATGATTTCAGGGCTTTAGTGTCCCCGCGGCCCGGGACTCGCCCAGGAAATGGAGTTTCATTACATTCAACGGCGGTTTTCTGGGGGGAGCCTCTACTGCTCCCCAGAGCTACTTCCCCAAAAACGAAAACAGAGGGACGTATCTGGGAGGCGATCGGTGCTCACGTTCAAACACGAAGTCGAGACAGGCTGCAACTGCTGACCCAAAGCGACACAGGCCCAACTAGGCCCATGAACATTCAAGAGGTAGCGTGCAGCCAGGACCCTGTTCGACCTCCAAAAACACCATGCCTGAAGTCAGCCCAAGACATGGTGCTAAAGACGGCAGCAAGCGCAGTAAACTTACGAACGTCATGGGCACGGGGATAGACCGCAGGCTGGCTAGAACAAGAGACCCTGTGAATGACTGGAGAGACCCGAACCCAAGAACAGGGAAGAAGGGAAACCGGATCAACCCAAAGTGCGTCCTGGGCTACAGAGGCCGTGGCGCGCAAATAACGGTGAAGAGCCACAGCCGGACACAAGAAGATGCACCCCCTGGCCAACTAACCAAGCAGCAACAACCCCGGGGACCCCTCTAGAAAATAGCCTTCCCAACCCCACCAGAAAGGAAGAGACGACTGCAATGAACAAACTAATCACTAGAACCCAAAGAAGTAGAAACCACCGACAAACCTGAGCTGAAGGGGCCACAACAAACCGAGAAAAGCGAAAAGAGCACCCTGTCCAAGAGCAGGACGGCACAGGTGGTGCATGAGCAGGCCAGAGGTGAACAATGCCTGAGACAGCCCGAAAACAGTGCAGAAGGAGCAATCTGAAGCAGCTCTGCCAGTGCTGCATGAGACAAGGCGACAGTATGCGGCAAAATGATGGTCCTGAACCTCCATAAGAGAAGGACAAGACCACGTCAACGAAAAATGCAGTACACCTACGAAGAGACAAAGAGAAAAGGAAGGACTGCCAGAAAACCCCATACTGCCGCCGTGACGAAGCATGCAGGTGGGACACCATCAAAGAAGCCACCTGATCATCTAACAGATAGTGAGAGACACGAGTCAAAATCACCAGACTTGAAGACCCGAG